TAGCCTTTGTTTTCTCTTTTCAGATTTTTTTTTTTATTGCTTGGTAATATAATCGCATTCCAAGATATCCAAGATTTTAACAATTTTATTGAATACTTCATGAACCATAGGTTTTGCTACCATGTTAGTCTCTATAAAAGACAAAAAAAAATCACTTCAAAGTTTCTACAAATAAAAAGGTAAAAAAATATTCCGCAATTTGATAGTTTTATCAAGTTTGAACTCTTGATGTCGCTTGAAGTTCTTTTAAAATATTTGCATTTTTAAAAGACTTTATAGTTGGTGTTCAGGTATTAATTTTCCAATAACACATTATTGAGTGACATTTTCAAATTTCCTGTCACCTTTGGACATTTTTAACTCAAAAACCCAACAGGCTGCTGGATGAATAACTGCCCTAACAACCAACCACTGGGCTTAGTGGGTTTTCTGGGGGAAAACTTGTGAACACACAAAAAATTATTTATTTTTTAAATTATCTCAGAGAAGGTGGATTTTTTTTTTCAGCCATGGATTTTCAAGGATTACCATTATAAATTTTTGTATAACTTCCATATTAAGTTGTTCTACAAATACAGTATTATATTGATCTTCCGCAGAAAAGATATGTCACAAATGTTATCAAAAGGAAGACATTCCTGAATAAGACAAGAAAAAAAACTTGATTAGACTGAACCTCAACCTAATAGAAATGGCTCGCAAGTCGCAACTATTTGGTTTGTCTAATTTAATTAGATCTTCTTCCTGATGAACAGAGAAGCACATGAGAAGAGTTATGACCAATCAAATGATAAATCAAAGCTGGCAGACGGAATTGAAGTAGGAAACCTTGTTTGTAGAGAAACAAGAAGACCACCGACAGCAGACCAAACAGAATCAGGAGGGCAGATTATCTCGATAACAAAGGCAAATTAAATGAGGAGCTCTGCGGTGCCTTTGGTTTGACCTGTCTATTACCGTTGGGCAGAAAAGATTAAACTTGGCGCCAACACCGTCAGCCGACCGTAAATGTCAAACACACACACCGGCACACAGCGGGAGATAAACATTAATCTCAGTTCATGCTTACACTCATCCTAATCTCAATGATAAATGGCTAAGAGACGCAACAGATTTGATAATACCTTTTTAAAAGCTGAAACAATTTGAAAAGAAAACAAAACAGCAAGACAAATATGGTTTCTAAGAAAAACTATTTGAATGAAACACACTTTTTCACCACTTCAGCTGGTAATTTATCTCACTTTAATCATGTCATGTGGTCTTGTTTGACCTCTAATCTTCTGCTGTTTGTCATTTACATTTTTAATGCTGTTTTAGTTAGAAAAATCAAATGTTTCACCTACAGACACTACCTTCATCGAAAGCAGATTTTCTTTAAAAATGAATACAAACTGATCAAGACTGTTTTCACCGTCATACTTCCCTCTTCATTTACGCCATATTTCACAGAAACACATTTACTCAGCTAAACACCAAGTTAAAAATATGCTAAGACCGAAATTTAACTTGTCAATTTCAAATAACTACATCAATTTTATCTCAATTAATTGCATTTCTTTTCTTCTTATTATTATTATTATTTTGCAACTTAAAAGTTCCAAGCCCAGAACATTTGTGTTGCGTTTGTGGTACATTTGTAAATCTGACGCACAAGCGACATCAGAAAACAAAGCAGTGGAGATCAAAACTGCTTTTCTTGGCCCACTGGCAGTTAATTAAAACAATCAGATGAGAAAAGACTCATCTTGCCACTGCGTGTGGGTAATACATGGGGATGTACCGATCGATCGCTTCTGATCGAGTTAATTTTGGGTTAACGGCAATTGGCAGATACATACACAAGCACTTTCTTTTTACATTAAAGGAACGCTACGGCTCTGTTTACACTGGGCTGGTTTTCAGTGGAGCAGCAGATTAAAGGAGTGTCTGCGATCTCGTGGAACATTTTCTCAATCAACATTCAAAACAAAACTAGAACTCAAGACGCCTTATTGGTGGTTTTTAAGTTTCTTTATTATTTTGTTCTCAACTGATCTCAAGCCACGCAAGCGTTGTGACTTTGTGAAAAGCTAAATACTGATGTGCACCTTCACTTTGGTGAGAGGCTCAAAAGAGTTGAGCCTATTGTAGTCTATGCTGTTGCGCATGTTTTGTTTGTCTTGAAAATGTGAAAAGTGGAAAACGAAAGGAGCAGATTGTTTTAGATTAGTTAATTGAGTTTGGACAGCAATGCCCTACACTGCTCATTTATATTTGAGAGCACCCCCTCATGAGTTACACAAGGGCACAAACTTATGGATTCACATGTATAGTTACTTGTTTTAAAATACAGTAAGATTCACGTAATTTAACTATATCACACCTGACACCAATAGTTAAAACAACAACAAAAAAAAACACAATGGTCAAAATCGGAATCAGCAGGCCAGTGTTTTCAAAGATGAGTGATCGGCCAGAAAACTACAATCGGTGCACCAGTAGTGATAAAATAAAGTGGGGTGCTTGTGAAGTCTTGCTAGTAATAGCAAGAGTGTTGCACTTTTAAATTAATATTTTTACTGAAGTAACTGTTTTCTTAAAGTTATTTCCTGACTCATGAACAATCAACACACATCTGCCTTACTTATTTTGAAGTGCAGCTCTGCTAAATGATCTTGTATCTCCTCCATACATCCCAAGGAAAGCAAGAAAATGATTGCTAATTAAATATCACTGAACACTCAAGTCAACTGGAGACGTGTTTTATTTACACGGCCAAAGTGTGGCAAAAGTGACACCCATTTAAATGTTCATGTGTGATCAGGAGCTGACTGGATTTCAAACTGATTCAACCCACAAAAAAAAACACCGTGATAGACAGACCCAATGCTTAAAATTGTTGGTTTCCACGGGACACAGCAAGCTCAAGTTGTAATATGAGAAAGACGTATATAAATAGCATCTGCACATTTCAGATTTTGCAGAGTAAAAGCGATGTGTGCCACACCGGGGTCCGTTACTCGGTCCCTTTAGCATTCACCCGCTAAGTGTCGTTAGCATCTGTTACATCTGTATTCCCCGGACGGAAACGACCAGGACTAAAGATACAGCAACAGGGGGCCGTTCGCACGCAGCAGAGCTTAAAAGTGGGCACTGTCTGCTGCATAAGGCCCTCTTCCGTGACAATACCCCCAACATGAGTTCAGACATTCACCCAAGCTGGTGAATTTCCACTCAGTTCACATCAACTGCAACAAGGGGCTCGTGCTAACGGAGGTAGCCTCCACGGCTAGTTGGCTAACTACCGAACACCTGTTCGGCTGCAAAGAGAGGAGGAGGGGGGGGGGGGATAAATCAGAGTTCACCGCATTTGCAGCTTAAAGATGAAGGGTGGATGACTGGTGTCGGGTGTTAAAACCTAGGAACGAAACCTTCACCTCCACAGCCGCGACAGATGAAAACAAGCTTCAAACAGCGTACCTTCCTGATGCCTCGGTTCCAGCCCCGACATAGCAACTCATCCTTTTCCTCAGATTAAGCTGGGCGTATTTCTCTTCTGGCTCCTTTTCTAAACTAAAGGGCTTCACGTTGTCCTCCTCAACATCATCATCATCATGGTGGTGTTTTCTTTCGTCAGTCTCATTTCTCTGTTGGTGACGTTGACTTCCTGTTCCCATCCCAGCAGCGGCGGCTGGAAGGAGGACTTCTGATCAATAATTCACCCAGGAAGAAGGAAAAACAACAAGGTCCTGTCAGGTTTTTAGTCCCAAGAAGTTTGAGCTTCTCAAACTTCCAGCTACTCATGCACACCTCTGCCACGTTGAAATGAAAGCATCAATTGCAAAGAGGAACTATGAAGATGTGGGACACCTACTGCATGTTTGAAACGACCACAAAAAGATTGGTCCACAAAGCAAAAGTCAACACATAAAGTTTCACACAAAAAAATAGCTGATGAAGTCATAATGTACTTCCAAACCATTTTTTTTTTTTGTATGGTTGTGTAATCATTTGACAAACAGAAACCAGTTTGTATTACTCTCCAAGCAATCAATTGCGGATTTCATCAAGGCAACTTTCAATACATGATAATGTATGTGAATTAATATTTGAACCACACTGTTTTATTTAAAGAAGTAACGAGTTTTTTTGTAAAAAAAAAATAAATAAATAACACACTGTGGAATATAAGGTTTTTGTGGCTAAATTCAATCATTTTCCAATTGGAATAAAGACTATGTGCGATCTTTGATAAAAGAACAATGTTTTTCCCTTTTCAGTCTCTCAAGTTACCTTTTTAGAATTAGATCTAAGACGTCATAGCAAATTCCCATTGAATAAGATAAAAAAAAGTGTAATATATTGCAGCTGGGAGACATTTTCACCAACACTTTATGTGTGCTATTCATAATTTTCTTCTATAGATGGTGGGTTGAAGAAGGCAGCACTTGTGTGATCAACACAAAATCTTTGTTTTGCAGGAAAAAGTAACAAATCCTATATCATGTAGAAGCTTGGGAGCATACCAATATTTTACATGACATGTTAAAACTGAACTAAATTATTGACCATTTATGCAGAAACTCCTTCTTTGTTTCATTTAAACCATTTATTTAGAAAATAAGAAATCTGTTGGTCATACATGTTAATAGACATAACAATTGAAATCTTATGTCTAATAAGTTAGAAAATTGTTTGCAATTATACCTCTAATGACCTTAAATTGCTACATATCAATAAATGCCTAAAATTGCTTGTGATCCTTAGTGCTTTTTGTCCAACAGTGCCATCTGGTGGTCATTATGTGTAACATTATTTACAGATAGGAAATTGATCTGATTAACTTTGTTAAATAATAAAGTCTAGAAATACAAGAGAAATTAAAAATAATTACAGAGGGACTCGAAATTCAAACATATAATGCCAGGTTTGCAAACATTCATATAAATACAAATATTTCTTAGGAATTTACAACAATTACTTCACCTAACTTTTCAACACAATGTAGGAAGTGGAACAGCTTTTATTCTCATTTATTTATCAATGAAATTCTGACATTCTGTCCAGCTTAAAAAGACAATTTTATCTTTCCACTTTTAATCACAAACTGGTTTGACTCATACTGTGGTAAAAAGCAGTGTCCCTGCGGTGCTGTTGGACAGGCATGTTCTTCCTGGTCCTATTAACTTTGTCCAAGTTGATCTCCACCAGCACCATGCCTGGCTTCTCCCCTCCACAGTCACCCACCACTTCCCCCCAGGGGTCGACGGCTAAGGCGTGGCCGTAGGACGAACGCTTCTCGTGGTGCCGGCCTACCTGCGCTGCAGCCAGGACAAAGCACTGTGTTTCTATTGCCCGGGCACGCAGTAACACCTAGAAACACATCATAGAACGATCAGTCAAACTACTTATTACTCTGAAATTATGTATAGATTTTGGTTTTTGCCTGGACAGGTAAGTTATTCCTACAGCTTAAAATATCACATTTTCATAGATTTCACACAAAGTTTTGAAACATAATGATAAAATATGATATGAAATAAAGCAAGTTTCCCATTTCATTCCTCTAGCGTCTAATCGAAGTACTTAAAATCATAGGAACAGTATGATGGAAGCCTTGTTACCGATAGGCAGTCGTTGCATAATAGTGTTGTAGTATAGCATTGTGATCCTACCTCCCAGTGAGCAGCTCCTGTTGCTACGGTGAAAGCAGATGGATACGTAAGGATATCTGCACCGTGTGTTTGCAAAGCAAGCGATAACTCAGGAAACCTCAAATCATAGCAGACGCCCAGACCGACCTTCAGCAAACAAACAAAAACGCTGCCAACAAATCAAAGATTCACTGAAAATATAACATGTCAGTGCTTTGTCTCCTGAAATCCTGAAAACTCTCACCGTTTCTGGCTTACAAACCTAACCTGTTAACGCAAGCACTTATAGGGTTATATTGAGATGGATACCGTTTCAATAAAATGCCCACCCTGCCAATTGGAGTCTGGACTGGAGGAACCAGGGAGGCTCCGGGTATAGTGAAGGCACTCTCTTTGAGTGACACACCTTTTTCCGGCAGCTCCACATCAAACAAATGGGACTTTCTGTAGACTGACAGGATGTCACCTGTTGATTTAATGACAATTCATAAGTGTAAATGTTGCACGATTGACTCTGGTTCGGTCTGAATCTCAGAATAAGGTGAGCGTTTGTGTTATTAGATGCTCTGCACCTTTGTTATTAACGATAACATGGCTGTTGTAAATACGTCTGTCGTTCTCCCAGTCGTGTCCTCGTTCATGAAATCCTCCGAGAGACACCCACACGTCCAAATCCCTGAAACAAAGAGTTTAAAATAACAGTAATATAAAAAATAATATATTTCAGATAGGCCTACTCCAAATATGTAGCAAGAAAATATTTATGTCTTCGCTACTGTGGACAAACATATAAACATATTTTAACGCCATGTCATAATTGCTCAATAGACTGGAAGTTGTGCTGCCCCACCTGGCAAGCTGAGTGTATCGGGAGATTATGTCCCCTCCTAGAGGCTCTGACATTGACAGTGTCTCCTCTCTGCTGGATCCAATGTAGTCAAATCCCTCTGGCAGGAACACCATGCAGGCCCCTCGCTGCCTGGCTTCCTCCAGCAGCTGTTTACAGGCAGAGAAGTTGGCCTCCTTGTCTGGGGTTGCCGTAACTTGACAGACTGCAGCTACTGGGTTCGGGGAAGTGGACATCCTGCACAGAAAGGAACGACTATAAGGAGGAGGGTCAGGAAACATGCCAGTTAATCATCAACAATGGTTGATGATTAACTGTGCAACTTACTGGGCTTTTTTTTCCTATTGCACACTTATTGTTTAACTCTGTACAGCTTCACTTTCATGGCAAGTGCAGCTGGGAAACAGAAACATTTAAATTGGATAGTCTTGTAAAAGTAAATTGTGTTTTAATTTACATTGAATAAGCATCAAAACAACCACAATAATGCTCAAATTTCCATTCCAGTGCTTTTATTTGGAAATAACAAAAAAAGTTCTAATTTTTGTCTAACTCACGAGTTGAGAGTACATATCTTAACGATAATAATAAACACACCTGTTTTGCAGTATGTGATGGCGTCCCAGAGCTGGTAGAAAAGCCAAGTACTTCACAGATGATCCTAAGTTGCACCTTAACATTGGTACCACGCAGGTTAACCTCCTCTGTTTACATTATCTTGGTGTTTTATTAACGTAGTTTCAGCTCAGTCCTCTGCTGTGAAAAGGTGGTTTAATCTTCTTCTCTGCTAAACATCAAACGTGGAGTGCGTTCTATCGCCATCTACTGGGGATTCTTTGCCACGATATAAAAAAAACATTTTTTTAAAAAATATTTCTTCATGATTTGCGAAGGAATAAGACTTCGCAAATTATGACAACTCAGGTTAAAATACAAAGAGTAAATATCAATGTTGTAAAATTATAATGTAGGTGAGACAAACAAGGCTTTCCGAGTTAATAAGAGCGTACGTTTGTTTTTGGTTTTATTTGAAATAAAAATAAAAAAAATTGTGTATCGTCATGAAGCAGCTAAGATTACATTACATTAAATTCTTACAGTATTATGGCCAGGGGTGTCAAACGTTAAAAGTTTTCAACGGCATTTGCGCACAGGCAACCTCACGAGCCCTCTTTGAACATCTCGCCGGGGGTCCCACTCGGAAACACCCTTCCAAGATGGCAGCCAACAGTAGCAGCACGGGTAGCAAGAGTAGCAGCAGTGGCGGCGGAGGAAAACAGTCCGGCCCGTCGGCTGAACAGGTACTCTCATCTGCATGCAGATTGCATTTTGTCGGTGTAGACGTTGTTGTTGCCCCTCTGAGTCTGGCGGAGTAAAAGCCGTCAATTGGACGGCCAGTTAGCTTAAGCTAGCGTTAGCTTCCCTCTCTATCGCTATCTGAGCATCAGTCTGCTTCATCAAACTTCTCAATAGCGACTTTCTCAGAGACGTTGGTGCATTCTATCTTTTAAACCAATTTAAATCGGGCTCATTGTTCTGATTATTTTCTTTAAACTTTAAAATTACTGCAGGCTGTCGGTGCTGTTTGGTATGACGAGGCGAAAGTCAGTTTTTAAACCCAAATGTGGGATTCTTGCAGCGTCTCCAATCTTTCACGAGCTTTAGTCATCATCAATATGCTGCACGAGGACACTCTTTTGTCATAAAAAGTTAGAACTTGGAGTTGTAGGACTTTTTCATTTTGGTTGAAATGTAACTAAAATTGGATAGTGGCAAAAGGACAGAAAACTGAAAATAAAATCTCAAAAATGTATAAAAAGTGAACAGATATTGGAACATTTTTCATTAAACTATTGCTCAATTCTGTTGCTCTCTTCTTCACAACCAATGAAATTACCTGTTACATTCTTTTTTATAACTCTAATGTGCATCTAGATAAGTTGAAGCAGATAGAAATATTTTTAAAAATTTACAATACCATCCAAATTTTTATGCAGCATTGCAACTTCAAATATAATTTTCAACTAAATCCAGTAAGAAAAACGAAACATGTTTTTTCTTATTAAAAAACTAACTGGTTAACATTTTATTAAGATTTCAAAATGAGTGGGAGAGCTGAAGTGAAATAATAATATTACTTCTAAAATATGTATTTCCTTGTAACTGATAAAATAAAAGTGATGTAATACAGAAGATTATTCGTTTATTTGTTTAGTTCTGACTTTATCTTTTTACAGGTGGTCGCAACATTTCAGAGAATGCGCCAGGAACAGCGCAACATGGCGTCGAAAGCTGCAGAGCTGGAGATGGACATCAATGAGCACAGGTTTGTCACTGAGGTCTCCTCTGCAGCATTTTCTGCTTTCTCATGTTATAATAGTCTATATGGCAACAGTTGACTTAGGCAGTAATAGATTTTGTGTGGCATTCTATGAAGAATTATAAAATGTTAGTTTTAGTACTTTTTCGGAGCTTAATTTCAGTGGTATCATTTTAACTCGCGTTTGACTTCCTTCTTTCCTGTTCAGTTTAGTAATTGACACTCTAAAGGAAGTGGACTCTTCAAGGAAATGCTTTCGTCTGGTAGGAGGAGTGTTGGTGGAGAGAACAGTGAAAGAAGTTCTACCTGCACTGGAGAACAACAAAGAACAGGTAATCTAGAGGGTAGTGACTGTACCACTTTGTTCTTCTCATACAGCTATGAAAACATATCACATATAACCTGGTAATATGTCATCGTGTTTAAAGATTCTTTACCACAAAAGTTCTGGGCAGCATAGCGTATAACAATATTGAAAAGGTGACTTTAAAAAACATCTAAATTATGCAATTTGAGTTTATTTTGCAAATGAACACAATGTAATTACAACTAATAAGGGGAATGTTAAAAATAAGTACATGAAATGGAGTAACCCTGACATAAATGCTGTTATGTTTTTAAAGTCACATTACACTTAACTGTTATAACTATAAAAAGTGTGTTTCTAATTACATTGTTAATAGTTTTAAGGATACAGAACAGAAAATGTAATTTAATGGCTAAATTTTTTTCTGTCACTCAAAATTTTAGATATGGTAAATTATTAATTTTTTTCTTTTCAGATTTCTAAAGTAATCGAGACCATCAACACGCAGATGCAAGCGAAAGGTCGGGAGCTAACGGAGTACAGAGAACGCTACAACATCCGTCTGGTCGGAGAGGGCGAAGGAGACAGCCAGGGCCAGTCTGCGGCACCGTCCGGCAACAGCGAGGGAGGCGGATCTAAAAGCGGAGCTGGAGTTTTAGTGTCGTAGCTTGTGAGGACGGACAGTGACGGAAGGGCCTTCTGATTGCTGCATCACCAAACAAAGAAAATTTCAACCTTGACGAAAGAAAAAAAACATCTGAACTCTTCACAGGAAGTGTTAGGACCACGGGATTTACTGTAATTTCTACAAAATGTAATACACTTAGTTTTTCACATCCGATTCAAGCAACTGTATACCGAGTCTGTATGTTTGGTCATAAGTAGTAATATTTGTCTTACATTTATCTCGCCCCCTTCAAATACAAATGCCAATTAAATGCATACAATTTTTATTTGCCTATAAACTGATTTTCTTATAGGCAGTTGGACATAATTTTCTTTTATAGGAAAAACACCTAAATGTTAAGAGTTCTGTGGTGCAGAGTTGAAAATAACCTAAAATACCTTGAACATCTAAGTGTCTTTTGCCATTGATATTTGTATGTAAACATACATTGGTATTTCCAACACTTCAGCTTTTGCACTATTACCTTAAACAGATGGAGAGTTGAATGTGTGGGAGTCTACAGTAGTTTTTCAGTTGTACAAAATGTCATTTGTGCAATGAAGGAAGCGCCCCCCTGTCAGGCAATTTGACGCTATGTATTGAGCAGAAACTAGCGAAATGGCTTCAGAATCGTTAATAAAACAAATCAGTCTAATGTGGCTTCCAGTTTTTTTTTTTCTCTTTCACAATTTCAAAACCAATTACAGAAGCTTTATGTAGTTGTAGGTTTTATTATTGCTAAGGCCTTTTTCAGTCTGTTGAGAAGTAATGCGACACATTGTTTCCACAGAAATTCAGTTACTGCCTCATTTAAGGTTTAAACGTAAAATTACTTACTAGAGTGATGTGTACTGGTAGCCAGGTGTATGTAGTAATGGCAACAGATTTTCTTTGGTGCATGAAATAAAAAAATCTTCTGAATTATTGGTTTAAAATTATTCTGACAAGTTGCATTATAGATTACTTTCATTTTTAAATGGAAATACTTCAGGCATATTGTTCTTGGCAAACCTATTGCTACAGATAGTTTTTGTACCTCATTTATGTCTTGAACTTTTCCTAAACCATTTTTTGCGTTGTTGCAGAACAATTTATACCTTTGAACGAAGCTACAGAAATCATAAAACCTTGTTTTCTTCGGGTTTCACAAACTTGAGATGTATAATTTTTAATAATAACATCTTATATTTATTAGGACTATTCAAACTATTAGCAGAGTAAATTTTGTTGGTTTTACAAAGAAAGCAGCAATAAAGAAAACCAGAGAACACCTTAATGAGATGGAACCCTAAGAGCGTTAGCCACCCTGTCTTTAATTGTAGTCACACCTGATGTGTTTTTGTTACACATGTTAAATGAGTCCAGGACAGTTGGAGAAAAAAAACAACATAAATTTCGACGAGGATGGGATTCGAACCCACGCGTGCAGAGCACAATGGATTAGCAGTCCATCGCCTTAACCACTCGGCCACCTCGTCAGGATGCCTATGTGTCGCCTACGCAGTGAAATTTACAGATACCCCGTTGGACGGAATACGTCCTGTATTATTGTTGTTTTCTACGATCATGTCATTATCATTAAGAACCCTTTCGTTACTTGTCAAAGCCCAGACTGCACTGCTCAACTGTAACACTAAATCCAGCGGCGCCTTTCCTCCTGACTTTACGGCAGTTACACATCGACATGCGCCGCTGTCGCAGCCGCCGCTCAGCACAACCAGCGCTGTGTTGTGATTTAATGGATCACCGCAGCTGGCACCTTCTCGCCGATTTTCTGTGCTATTTTAAATCCCATTAAAGTCCTGTTTGGTGCTCCTTTAATGCAACAACATCGGGTCAAGCGTTCGTCCCGACACAGCCCCTTTAGGCTGTGGTGTTAGCACTGTGGCAGGGATGTAGTCAACGCTAGCTGGAGCCTGTGTTTTCGGACCTGCTTTGTTAACAGCGATTAGCCGGATCCAGCTTTCTCTGGAATGCATCTCTCCAAGAAATGTTCCGTGTTCAAAGTGGTGCTGAGTGCCCTTCTGATGGTGGCGCTGCTGCAGCTCATTTACCTGTCCTTCCTGTCCAGGTTCCACGGGAAGCAGCAGCGCTACCGCTACTCGGAGCTGTTTGGAGGCTCCGCGGCCAAGAAGAATGCGCATCCCGAGAAAAACACGCGGAAGGAGCGGCTGAGGTACTCTCTGTCCAGCGGTGGGATCTTTGACAACAGCGGCCAGTACAGGGTATACAAGAACTTGATAAAGAGTGATTTCACAACGAATCAGAAACCAGGTTCCCACTCAAACTCTGACATCCTGACTCTGGCCACTCATACTACCATCAACAACCTGCACCACCTGGAATCTCTGCTGGAAAGATGGCAGAATCCTCTCTCTGTGGCGATATTTGCACATGGGGAAGATGTTAAATTTGCCACAGCTTTGGTTTATGCACTCAGCTTCTTCTGCCCTCAAATCCAGGCCCTTGTGGACTTCCACTTGGTCTGCCTGTCAGGAGAGACGGCCAGTTTCCCTGAACAGGACCGGGAACACTTTGCTGGCCTGGAAGACTGCGCTTCTGTGTTCTCCAGACTGGAAACCCACAGGGATAAGTACCAAAACTACGCAATGAGCGGAAACATCTCTTACCCAAATAACCTACTCCGTAACGTTGCCCGTGGTGGCACAGAGTCCTCCTACATCCTGGTAATTGACATCGACATGATGCCGAGCGCTGACCTCCACCAGCAGTTCCTCGCCATGATCCTGAGGCGACCACCGGCGGCCGACGAGGTGTTTGTTCTCCCTGCTTTTGAGATCCGCCATGCCAGGAAGATTCCCTTGACGAAGGCAGAGTTGGTGCAGCTTTATCAGGTGGGAGAAGTCCGGCCGTTTTATGAGGAGTTGTGCCCACGCTGTCAGGCTCCCACCAACTACTCCCAGTGGGTCAACAGCCATGTTAGAGAGACAGGCACCCTGGAAGTTGCTTACACACTCATCTGGGTGGACCCCTGGGAGCCCTTCTACATCGGGCCTCGAACTGTCCCCTTATATGACGAAAACTTCAAGCAGTATGGCTTCAATCGAATCAGCCAGGTTGGTAGAATCTGAACTTCAAATGTTCCTAAATTTAAAGCAGAAAGGTTTTTACAAGTTTGTTAAAATTTTCACTATGTTGTGACAAGACAGGTAATGTATAAAAAATAAAAATCAAGCTCCTCTGCCTTCTCCCAGTGGTTACAGTACTTACTACAGAAATACACAGCTTGGTCAGAAACAACCAATCAGAGCTAGGAGGAGGGCCTTAGCGCTGCCAATAATTCTTGAGTAAGTGCTGTTCACAGAGCCTGCCATAAATGTTAATTCTAGTTAGCACAACCACCAATGACGATGGATTAACAGTTTTCCTAGAACGATAATTGTGTCTCCATCATTAGCCCTTGGAGCAGCATACACGTAATTGATTGACAGCACTAAGACCTTCCTTCTTGCTCCAGTTGGTGGTTTCTGACTGGGAATGGAGGTTTTAGTGGAGGAGCTGGATTTTATTTTGTTTTATTTAAATTTTTGTTTGTTTTTTCACAGATTATCTGTTTCATATTTTACTGTCAGGACATGACAGTTTTAATAAATGTGTAACAGACATTTTTTTTAAAATGAAAATTGTATACTCTAGCTTTAAACCCTTAGGTGCATCTTACTATTTTGGAGTATAATTAAAATGCTAATTTACTTTGATGAATTAAAAAAAGAGGAACTCATGTATCATTATGACAACAGGCATATTTAGAGTGTTTCTGTACATTTCGATTACTGTAAAGCTAACAAAACCCCAAATTAACTTTTCAGAAACACAAACCCAATAAAAAGGATGACAAAAATGTAGACAGACTGGCAGGCATGTCCTTGTATTGTACAGCAAATGTGCTCAGCACTTGTTTTGGCCTCCTTTTGCATGAATTACTACATGAATGCAGTGTAGCATGGAGCCAATCATAATAAGCAGGCCCAGGTTGCTATAGTGCATCCTCAGAAGCCGAGCAACATGTTTATGCAATGCACATCACAGGTATTGAACTGGAAACTAGGCTTAATTCATGAGTTTCACTTTTTTGAACTGAATTGCTGAAAGAAATAAACGTTTTGATCAGTCTAACTATTTTTTTGAAGGCGCACCTGTAGATTTCACAGAAACACACGTCAACACCTGCCTTCTGGTGTTTCTGTTTCGTTGTCCAGGCGTGCGAGCTGCATGTGGCTGGATTCAGGTTCTCTGTGCTGAGCTCGGCCTTCGTCGTGCACCGCGGCTTCAAGATCCAGGGCGAGTTCCACGCTAAGAAAGAGGAAGAGAACAAACAGAACCGGGTTTTGTTTCGCAGCTTCAAAGAGGGCCTGAAAACCAAATACCCATCCTCTGCCCGACGATGCTGAGGGGCGGAAAAAAAGATGACTGTCCTAAGCCAGCTTTTAAAGTTATAACATAGTTGTATGGGGGAGGAGTTTCAGCTGATTCTCCTACTTCCTTAATATTTGAAGTCAATATTAAAAATAGACGGCACATAGGGTTTATGATGGGATTTCAAAACATGGGTCAATAGTGACTACAGATTGAATTTTATTAGGTAAAATCTAAACCTATGAGGTCTTACTTCATACATTATGTTGATAACCAGATACAAAAGTAGCAAAAATTGTCTTAAATCACAATGAAATGACATTTCTAGTCAAATATCTACTTTAGAAGCCTTGGCCCAGAGTTTAAACACAAACAGCAAGAGCCATGTATGAAATTCTTGCAGTATTACCCGCCATAAAAATGTGACAGTGTTCCAGTACTAACACCAAAATTAAAAGAAGCATAACATGATCTCATTACTTTCCCCTAAAACAGAAAAGCAACAACTATTCCCTCTTTGTATCAGTTTTTTATATTTAAAATGCGTAACGCTTTATTTGACGGGTTGTGACTAAGACTGTCATGACGCCGTCATAAACATGACATAACACCTGCCACGAGTAAGTCTTCATGAATATTTATGACTGTTGTCATAAATAGTCATTCGGTAAATCATGACACTTTTAATACAAAGTTATTCAAAACGTCTTTGTTATGTTAAGAAATCATAATCTGACATAAATTTGTTATCAAAGTATTACTGATCAAACTTTAGCTTTAGTAAGATAAAGTTACATAATTTTTTTAATGCAAAGCTATAAAAACACATTTGTCCCTTACAGCTTATCTGTTTTTGAGTTTTGTCACACTTAAATGATTATCAAGGCTCAATATCAGGTAAAAACAACCTGAGTAAATACAAAATGTTGTTTAAATTATGGTTTTGTTAGACATTTCAGCCTAATAAAGCTGCACTCATTTTAAACTGAGAATTAAATGTGATTATGAACATTTTTTTGGCTCAGTTTTACAAAATAGAAATTGCAGGATTATAATCCAAATTAAGTTTTTTCTTTATTATTAAAATTTACTTCAGACTCTGAAACATTTAAATGTTCCAAATGAGCAAAAACAGAATAAATTATTACATATAGACTGAACAAGCTATTATTATCATTATTAATATTGTTTAATATAATCTGTTAGTGAAGGTAGTGGTGTTCCCCGTACCGATAGACTGAAAATGAAAACTATTAACTTGGTTTGTCTTGGCTCAGGTGTGGCCAAAACAAGGAAAGAAAAGCTATAGTTCCTACTTAAATGAGAATTTTTGAAATGCTTGTACGTGGTTTTAATTAGGATATGCACACAAGCCTGATTAAAAATCAGCAGATCAAGCCATCAACTTGTACTGTGGCCACTAGAGGGCGGTAGTCCTTGCACCTCAACTGTAAGCTGTTTTATTTAGTGGGAGCGGTAAATATACGCACAAGTTTGGTGCTCTGAAGCATGATGATTTACTCCACACCTCGATGGCGTACACCTCTCTGTGACAATTTCTTTTCTAATAGAAACAGAAATGACTTTTAACAATAAGCACTGGAAACTTTACAATATACACAACACTGACATTGTACAGAAACTTTAAAACTGCTGTATTCTAACACCAAGGATTAGAAACCGAAATATTTACTTTTTACATCGTTTCATTTATTAATTTATCGCTTTAACCCTTGACAATGTATTGCGTGTGAATATAATGCATTATCAAGGAGTAAACCAGGCTTAATCATTGTGTTGTTATGGTCTACGGTATCAAACACGCCTTTAGTTTTAGTGTATGGATAAATAAAGGTGCTGTTTGATTACTGATTATGTTAAATATGTTCTGGAATACTTATTTTTGAAGGGATCTGTAGCCTTCCTACTAGTAGTGCAGTTTGGTATATTTATTGTGATCTTTTCCTAAAATAAAAATAGTTTGAACCTTTTGTTTAAACCCAAAGCAAGAACACTGTAGCATGAAATTGTGTTGACACTTTAGATTCTTTTTTTCATCTTTAAAAAATAATTTATCAGATATTTACAGATGGGGAAATCTATATGAAATCATTATCTACTGTGGTTACGTAATAGTTTGGTATTTTTCTCATTGGTTCACTTATTTGAAAAAAATGATGCTGTATTTTTTTTTCCTCCTTTATTTTCTTTATCAGATAAAATGTCTGATTTGTGTTGAACTTGCTATTAAATCCCTCTTGGACAACGTTTGTTAACTGGACTCCGACAAGTTTGATTCATTCCCATTTTAGCTGTTATGCAAGGTTGAGTTCGGAAAGCCCTTTGAGCGCTTGGAAATGGACAAATCCAATCAATTAACTTCACCAGAGGGATTTGTATTGGCAAGTAATGCCAAGGGTGTTTCTGGAAGTATCACTTAAATAGGAGGAGAAGAATCTAAGGCGAGGATAAGGAATACTTTAACTCAGAGAAACATAATACAGCTTTTAGACTCAAACGGTGCCATGGGTTACACAAGAACGAGATCTTTCCAGTGTTACTGCACCCAAGGATAACTGGTGCAACTATTCATTGATGCTGTGTTGTAACTAGACTTAGAGCTGAAGTTTAAAGGCATCTCTGCAGCAGGTGATGGACAATTACATGGTAAGCAGGGCCAGCATCCAATTAAAAGGCCCTATTAGTGATTAAGATCTGTTTTAAAGTAGAGTCCAGTAAGTTCTTGGTAAAGGCCGGTTTTGATAGGGACTGAATTATTTCTGGAGACGCAGTTGAAGTTTCCACTCCTCCAGTGACCAAATAAGACCGGCTGGAGTGTCGTGGCTCTAACGCTGACGGGGCCATCTGCTGGTAAAGCAGCGCACGTGTGACATTCGGCACTTGACGACAGTCCGAGGCGCTGTGGCGTTTTGTGGCTAAGCCTGCATTACCGGGCTGGATAATGAGCCTGGGCACACGAGAGCCACAAGCACGCAACGCTGCGCCTCAGCTCTGGACCGGCTTTGCTGGGCACATCTAATCATCGTCAATCTTATAAAGTCCTGAGTTGTTTTAACTTCTGACTCATTTATCTCACCCTCGCTTTCTAAAATCGGTTATTACTCGGACTGTAAGGGAAGTCTACGTAATTCCTAACACAAGAAGGAAGAGTATTCACGTGCCTGAAGGTTCTCTAGCTTAAATTTACATTTAAATGAAGTCATTTTACTTGGACAGTGTAAAAGTATAACAGAAACTTCTTTTCTCTTTTCGTCTTTTCCAAGTATGAGATCAGGTTTTTATCAGTAAATGTGGTTCATTCGTCTCGTCCCTGCTCAGGGTGCTAATAATGTGGCAGAAGGTGCAGAAATGTTAGGAGGGGGCGGTGGATCAGGAGAGGCAGGTTTGGTGAGGTAAAGTGGGGTTTATCTCAGCAGCTTTGGGGAGTGAAGGCTTATCTGGGTCAGAGATCTTTGTGACATAAGCAATTAGGGTTGCCCTCTCTTGTGTATGCTAGGAGGAGGGAGGCCTCCCACCACATAGATTAGCCATGCTAAGGCTCGGGGAGCTTGGCAGCTTCTGGACAGAGGGAGGGGAGGGAACCAGCTGGAGGGTGAGATGAGCAGGCGCTGAGGTGGGGGCGTATTTTATTTATTTATTTATTTATTTAAGAGAAAAGGAGGGGAAAGATGAGAGCGAGAGGTCAGCCAACTTGCAATGTAGAGACCCGGGCTCCTCTGTGTGGTTCATTGGACGGGTGAGAAAGCAAAAGAGTCAGTGACCCAAACTGATTGAAAGAATTTGTTCTGTGAACCTCTGGGCCAAAACGGGGGAAAGTTTTCGCACCGGGGCATCATTAATACAAAAATAGACAATAAAGGCCGTCCATGTTACTTAACGTCTGTGGTTTCTGTTCATCAGCCACTTAACTGGAAGGATTTACGAGTTGTTTGCTACTTGGTTCACAAAAACAGCTTCTTTTTTTCCTTCTTACAAAGTGAACAGCTTATTAACAAGCCGAGTCTTTTTGTTGCCACAACTGAGCTGTGTATTTGTAATAAATGTCACAAATATCGTAAAAGTTAAAGAAAAAAAATGAAGATCTGAGACTGTGAAGTCAGGATTTGTTCTCATAAAAACGAGTTCAAATCAAATAAAACATTTTTATGAGTTTTTTTTATTTTTATTTGAAGCACTAAGGGAACCAGATAAATAACCTTCCCAGTGGCTGGATGAACATAAACAAAAACAGTCTTGCTGATCGTGAATGCACCACTTGAAGTGTTAGGAGGTTGAACAAACAAAAACAACTTTTGGAGTAGAAACTTTATCTGAAGGAAGATTAATCTATCAGGTCATTTTCAGTGTCAGATGCATTTAAAATTGACGATCGAATTGCAGAAAAATGGAATTATGAAAATAAATTGGCGAAAAAAAAAACATGTTTTTTTTATTTACAAATTTAGACGGTGATGTCTCCGTCTAAATTTGTTTCAATTCCAATCTCCTTTTAAAGAGATTGGAGAGAAGAGAAAATACCAAAGTAATGTGGAGCTCAAATTTCCACCTTATCCTCATACCTTGCTTGACATGTTTTTTTTATTTATAAGAAGTTAATATCAAGCTGTTCTTGCAGAAAATGCATTCAAGGTTTTTCTTGAAGTACAAAACAGGTAACACTCAAGAAATTAATTATGAAAACATAAAACCTTTTTTATCTTTTTAATCTACGAATATTTTCAGTTGCCTCTCCCACAACACTTCGATGTCTTTATTTATTTTATTAAAACTCTGTACTTTACTGTTGGAAAAAATAACTGCTCTACTTTCCACAGTTTTCTGGTTTGCCTTCATTATTTTCTTTTTCTATTCACAAATGCACAATCAGATGCAACTTGTGTGTATCATAAGATAATCAGAATAAGAGACCCAATTTGTGCTCGCCTTGCCCTTCTCTCAGAAATGCCGGGATCCATTTCACTTAAACAAATGAGGGCTTATTGGCCATCAGTGCCAGCTTTGGAGCAAGTTTACATGTGCGCTTACTGAATAAAAGCCTCTCAGTACAGACATATCACTCTGCTCTAAACCTGGAGTTCTTGGAGCGCCAGGTTACTTGGCATTTTAAATGTATCCCTGCTAAAACCAGACTATCCGGCCTGGAGGACAGAAGTAATGAGACATGACACTGCCTGGGGGAGAGAAAAGGAGGCCTAACAGATATAGGTAATCCCTCTCACCAAGCTAACACCTCCCACCCCTGCTGTCCCAGGAACCCAGCAGGAAACAAAGCTACAGACACACACAATGAAAACAGAGTGATCGATAAAAGTCATCATGATTCCATCCGTATCCACGTCTTTCAACAGGTGTAAGTTGAAATGACACATGCTGAAGCAAAGAGTAACCATATGCTCTCACACACTGAGCTTTAACTTCCGCTGGAGCTCAGTTATCACAGTTCTTCAGGAACAGACGACGGCAGCCATGATGCCGGGTTGTGTTTTGCAGTCACCATGTCTGCAAAACAGAACTGGGTGAAAGTCTAACATTTTTCTAACGAAGTTGCAGTTTTATTTTTTATTTTTTACAGCCGATGCAGGAAAAAGAACAAAACAGATGTTCCATTCTTATTTTTATACCTGTAACGTTACTTAAAAATGTTTTGCATTAAAGTAAGGCAGGAGCGGCTTTGTCGATTTCAGCCTTTGCAGCCGTTATTAGACAGGAGATTAGCTCGGATTTATATGACAGATTAAACTTGGGTTGAGCTGTCACAAAAGGATCACACAATACGACTTGAATCAAAATCAATATAAGCCACGAGTGAGGGTGATAGTATTTGTTTTCACTAAATTTGTAAATCTTATGCAAGTATGGCATCAGTTTTTGTGAAATGTTCACTTGGGCTCTGAAAAACTGGCTGTTAAAAGCTAAAGACAGGAATACAGAGTTAAAAACTATTCAGCCCTTAAAAACTTCAGTTTTAGCTCTTCTATGTTGAGTGTTTCAGATAATCATTTATTTGAGGGACTAAAGTTATTCGGCCCAACAAAGTCCAAAGTGAAAGAGTAATTATCCTCTACACTTAATGTTTCTGTTAAACTCTTGGCAGAAACAACTTTAAAATCAGCATTAATTTTAGCTCACTTTGATTTGAAGAATTGTGTTAATTAGTTGTGTTGGATGGTTTTTCTGCATGAATGACTTGTTTAAGGTTTCACTGCAGCATCTCAAATCAGATCTAATACTTGGATTTAATAAGATAAGATAAACTCCAAAAATGTTTATCTTATAGACTTCTTGGTGAGAACCAGTTTTTATGACCTTAAGGTTACAGAATTGAACTTTAGCATTCACAGTCCCAGAAAGATCTTCCTGATCCCAGATCATCACACGACCACCAAGTTTAACTGTAGGTACGATGTTGTTTTTTCTTAAATGTTGTCTGTTGTACAGCAGATATGAAGACACACACCTCCAGAGACTTCCATTTTTACAGAATATCCTCAAATGTTTTGGGGATCAGTGTTTGTTTTGGTAAATGTGAGGCAGGCTTTTGCAATACTTTTGGTTAGCAGTGGTCTTAGCCTTGGACTCTACATGGAAACCATTTTGCCCAGTCTCTTCCTTGCTGAACGATAAAATATGAATTTAACAGGATGAATTGTGACTCAAGAAAACATTAGAAGGACGGTTCAGGACGATTTGCTATGAAAAGGTCAAATCACTATCAGTGGATCACAAGAGAACCTTCTAACTGTACAACTGTGACTAAATCCAAATATCACATTTAAAATTTTTTTATTTTTAATTTCTTAAAGGAAAATTCAGCACTGATAGATGATGGTGTGTGGGCCATCGGAGCACATCTCTATCACACTGCCCTCCTTCAACGCAACTTTCAAAAGACAAAAGCACAAAACAACTGAGTGGTCGACTCCTCGGGTCTGTGTACGTTTCAATGGAGTGTTTGGAGAAGCTGCACTGGGAAATCCAGAGATCAGGGGAGGTAAGACACCAAAGCAGGAATTAATGAGCATTATGGTATTAGGCAAAAATAAGACCCAGATTAAATCCCTGTGGATCTCTTAACAATTCCAGTAACACCTGTCAGATGATAAAGCAAGACAGACTATGTGAATATTAAACAAGTTGTCCTAATAAACAGTGTAAGATAAATCTGTATCAATGACAATATTTATAAATATGGTTTATGAATATTTAATAGAAGTTTTGAGACTGAGATTTTGTGCTTGTTTAAAATAAAATGCAGCTTAAATGTAAGGTAATGAATAAAAAAACACTTAGATAAATATACTTGTAAATCTGAAAAGAATTTTAATAAATCTTTAATGATGTCAATAAAAATATGTTTTTGTCACAAAACAATTTAGGTTATAGATAAAAATAATAATAATAACAATAAAGTGCTCGTTTTCTGGTGGTTGTAAATAAATCAGTGCCTGAACATGATCCATACTGTCATTAAAGATTTTTTAAAAACATACAAAACCTGCATTGCAGTATATTCAAGCAGAAATAAAATGCATTTTTTCTGAGAGTTAGAGGTTGATGCAAACATCTGCACCATTATGTCACCTCTCTATACATTCCTGTTTTACTGAAATCGGGCTGAACAATAAATGGAAAACATCACAACACTGATGTTGATTAGTGCGATGATGCTGAGGATTGTGAAAAACCTACATTTTTCTTAATACTCTCCACTTTATTAACACCAATGTTTTTATAAATCAAAAGTAAACTTGAGTATTTTCCTGTCTATTCTGTGTTTTTGAAATAATAATAATAAAAAAAAGACTAGTACACTTCGATCCACAAACCAGAAAACACCCAGTCCTGACCAGGCAGTGATTTGCTGTTCTATTTTTTAAAGGCTTAAACTGGAGCTTGCCAGATAACTGTGAGCTTGTGGTTAAGCCGATCCTTCAAACAGTGAACATGATACCGTCTGGTGGGTGAACTATAACACTGACGCAAACACGGCTCTGACGCACATATCAAAGGCTTCTGTTTCAGAAATCAAAATGAAGAAAAACAAAAACTACTGTAAAGAATTATATTTAATTATTTATCACACTGTAATGGACTTTAACAAATGAATTTATGAAAAGTCTGATATGTCAGGGAAGATATCAGAGTTCAAAGTCCACAAGATGAACTTATATAAGTTATTCCAGCCAGTTTTCTTCTTATTAATGCAGTAGTGCACGTAGTGAGTAACATATTAATTTGTAGGGATGTTTCTTTGTTATTTTAGCACATAAAATGGACAGAAGCTTGCTGTACTTAATGCCAAAAGAAAGAGCCTTCACTCAGGACGCTTTCAATAGACTCCAGCACCAACTCCGGATACATTTGGAGCAGTTGCAGCCATAAACTCCCAATCATTCACAGGGCTTACACTGTGAAACTAAATTATAATCATTTGAAAGTCAGGGGGAGTTTTTAACATTCAAAAAGATTCAATAAACAAAACTCAGTAAGAAGTGTCTCTAAGAGGCATTAGCCACCAAATCATTAACAGAAAATTAGCTGATATTGTTATTGATTTGATTTTAAAAAAATCTGGTCAGGATCCATCAGGTTTCTGGTTATTTAAAATGTGCCTGAGAATTTTAAACTGTTAAAACGCATAAAATATTTCTTTGACAAAAGAAAAAATATATCTTGAATTCAGAGATAGCAATAAAGAAATGTAATTTAACTAAAATATATTAAAGTTTTAGGTTACAGTAAATATTAGGCAAACTATTTTAACCTGATATGACTGAATTACAATGTTTAAAATTCAAAGGGCTTATTAAGACTCTCCCTGTGCAAAACTGAACCTCCAAACCAGGGGCCCTGTCTTTCTGTGGAACATTGCTATTCTGGTACATACAGTCAAAAGACATTGGGACGATTCTGGACACAGAACACTACCCTGGTTGGAACAGGCTTTTGTTCTGGAAACACACATGTTAATCTTGGGAGTCATTTTCTGAGTCCTCCTGGTTAGGCCTGTGCAGCACAGCTAACCACATTGTGGAGATGAGGGGGGGGGGAGGGGGAGATGCAGGGGGATAGACCTGTCTGAGAGGATGCTCCCATTGAGTTGTAAATGAGCTTGTAATTAGCTCTTACACATTAGCCATGAGGGAATTAAGACAGTGTGTTTGTGTGTGTGTAAATGTCATTGTGGGTTTTGTAACCCCTTTTCCTTCAAATAGGGGTAACGATGATAAGCAGATAATACTAATTACTTCTCCTCCTCAATTGCTTGTTAATTGTGCTTTGTGTGGATTTATACAGCAGGGTAAAACCCCCAGTTCCTGCGTAGCACACCACAGTGCATGACCCCTGCTTTGTCTGCTGACAAAATCAACAAGTGCTTTTTATTTAAAAAAGAGAAATTATGCAAAGTAGGGATATATGCAAGTCATTAACATAATTAGCTGGTTTTGTTGTTTATGTAAAAAAATAAAGTTTTTTTTCTCATTAGCAGCTTGCCAAAGAGATTTTTTTTATGAATAATCTGAGAGGTCTTGTGTTTCTGTATTCAGAAAGAAGATTATTTTAAAATATTGTTTATCTGCTGTAGATAGTAGAACTGAGGGATCCTTGTTAGATTAGCTGTACTCCCACATGATGCTAAACCAAGGTTTTTGCTAAAAGCTTCCAGAAAAATACATTGGTGGTGGAAAACTAATGTTTCATATCTGCGAGTATTTTTTTTAACATTTAAAGACACAACAAAACAATGATAAAAGTAAAATGTCACTAGCTACAAGGTGCAGGAAGATTTAATTGGAAACTGCAAAGTTAGAGGCTATGAGCAATAACAAAACTTGTTCATCATCAGAGTTTTTATCTATATCTCACTGTAATGCACATTGTAAACAGTCAACATCAAAACATACACAGAAACACATAAAGACCGATGATTTAATCAGGTTGGAAGTATTCAATGTGTGGCCACATTGTGAAAAAACGAATTTATGCTGAAAATGAGAACAGGTTTATTTGTGGTGTATATTTGCTGTCTAATTTTTAAAAAGATAAACAAGCTTCTCGTCTCACCCTTTGCCCCCCTACCCTTCTTCAAACACATCATCTGTTCATCAACCATCTTATTATTCGTCTTATTCTAACGGCTTGAGTGTGCTTAAGCAGATTTTGATTCAGTCTGCTCTTAAAAATGTTAAACAGATTGGGAGGTGGGACGGTGGGGCTGGACTCCTTCTAATGAAGGTAAATGTTTGTCTATGCGAGAGCACGTCTGCTTGGCGGAGGAGGCGCAAAGTGTCTAAAACCTGGAAGAGTTAGATTCAACGGCAGCATGATCTTCACTGAGCTCATTTCTCCACTTCTGTGCCAAACAGTGTTACTAACACACACACACACACACACACACACACACACACACACACACACACACACACACGCACGCACGCACGCGCGCACGCACGCACGCACGCACGCACGCACGTGACACAGCTTGTCCCCTTCGTTTTGTTAACCCACCGCCCCACTGGTGAAGTTAATCTAGACTTAGGGTCCAACAAGCATCAATTGATTCCCAACTGTTTGTACAATAACCCTGCAAGTTTCTGTGCCTCCCACTTGAAACTGTGATTATAATTTGCCAAGTCAGACAATCATGTGGTATGCTCTAATTTATCCTAAAGATGCCTTGTGAGACTTAGGTTGGGACTCTGAGCAGGCCAAGCATTTTCTTCCACACCAAACTTGCTGATCTGTGTCCTTTTGGACCTTGTTTTGTCCACAGGTGCACAATGACGTTGAATCACAAAGGAGCCATGACTAAACTTTTCCCATGGAGTCAGGAGGAAGAAATTGTTCAAAATGTCACGTTTTGCAGAAACAGTAAAGAGTTTTTGTCTTTCCAAGTTCCTGAATCTCTGTCACCATAACCCCGTCTGATGCAATACAGCATGAACATAAAAACTACCTTTGGAATTTCGCAAGAAAAACACCCAGTATTTATTTTTGGATGGTTTGAAAAATGCGCTTCCATTTCAAATGTGCAAAACTTTGATATTCGACTAAAGTAAAAACCACCACAATTTCACCTGTACAATTGCTGTGTCTCTAGTAAGTACGAATGAAATAAAGTAAGTCAGTAAAAAAACATTCCGCCGCATCATCCTGCTACCACTTCCTGTCGATTTCTTCATCTTTTCCGCCAGTAGTGACATGACATGTCATCAAGTTATGTGATGCAAAGAAAGCGTTTCTGTTGCAGTTTTATTGTCACCGAAAAAAAATCACTTCATCCTAGTGCAAAAATATTTTACTGAAAATATTTCAGTATTTTTCTTTTCTAAATTGACCTGTTTCCAAGCAATTTAGTTTTGTAATTCCAGTTTGAACAATTTTGTGATCAATGGAAATGCAGCTATTCTCTCAACAGTTTATTTGATCTTATATGCATGCATTGCTAACGTAACTTCATAAAATGCTCCCATTTAATTTTAAAATGATTTCTGAGTGACAAATTGAAGTAGTTAATATACAATGTCAAAACAAGCCAGGGTTTCAGTTGCTTATTGATCTACCCAACTGTTTGCCAGCCTCATAATACTCGAATTCTTGACAGATTTCTACAAGAGGCTTTTTTTTTTATTTTTTACTTCGTTTTAAACCAGACAAACCTTCACCTGACTGCAACCTTTGCTCAAAGCCTTAATCACTCTGGAAATAATCTATATCTGACTTCAGGATTGCGTGTTGCAGAATAAATGTCACCCCCACACTGATGTTTTGGGAGCACATTTGTTTCCCTTTAGGCTACTTTGGGTAAATGAAGTGTAACCTGTTTGCACGTTAGCCAACAGATGCTTTCAGGATCTGTTGTCTGATTAATAGGAAAATTGTCCTTAGACTGATTAATGAGCTACTGAGATAAGAAGGACTGAACCAGTTTGCAGATTAATAACATGGTGACCTGACTTGCTCTGTATGGATGTCCAGAGGCGTTCCCAGTTTGAACTGGTGTGATGAGAGGTCACAGGGGATAGCCTATCTGTAACCCATGTCTGTTTTAATTACATGGGTATTAGCTGGCCAGAGGGGCTTTATATCCCAACATATACCCTTGGGCAAATGTCAAGACAACATACTTAGTCAATTGTGCAAAATATTATTTAACAAGATTCTTTTAAGATCTCAACTTTCTAAGAAATTAGCTGCCTCTAAACTTTCTGCCTCTTGTTCTTTTTAGTGTTTTTCCCTCTTTCTTTACACATTTTCATCTATTCCTGAGATGGACATCTATCTCCTAAAGATCAGACCTTTTAAATAATCTTTCCTCACTTGTTTGCTCACTGCAGTCATCCTGGCAGTCAGTGTATCCTCAGGCTAAGCCAAACAAGCTGATCAGCCAGGCACCTCTGTACACACTACCCCCCACTAAGAGGCTAATGGCCAGGACATATAATCCTTCTCAAAACAACCACAGAGATGCTAATTGTATCTGGCTATAAATACTAGCAACTGCTTGTCCTCTTTCTTCATTTGTCTCTGCTCTTGCCTGTAATGGTGGAGCCAACAGTGTCTTCCCAGAAGTACTCGCACCTAAATACCAGGAGAGGCTGTTGAAGTTGTGGCGAAACCTTTCCAGCAGGTCTGAGGAGCTTCATACACAGATATATCATCCCATGTGGGTTGTGAACACATCTCAGCTGAGCTACCGTGAAGAGACCAGGTGAGATGTTCCCACTGCCGATGTTCACGCCCGACCAGGTCGCTCGGGTGTGCGAGAACCTGGAGGAGACCGGGGACATCGAGCGCCTGGGTCGGTTCCTCTGGTCGCTGCCTGCCGCCGTGCCCGGCTCGGCGGGGGAGGCGCTCAACCGGCACGAGTCTGTGATGCGAGCGAGAGCGCTGGTCGCCTTCCACACCGGGAACTTCGAGGCGCTTTACCAGATCCTTCAGAGTCACAGGTTTACCCGCGAGTCGCATGCCAAGCTGCAAGACCTCTGGCTGGATGCGCACTACAGAGAGGCGGAAAGGCTGAGAGGGCGGCCGCTGGGCCCAGTGGAGAAGTATCGGATCAGGAAGAAGTTTCCGTTGCCCCGCACCATTTGGGATGGCGAGCAAAAGACGCACTGCTTTAAGGTAACAACTTATACTGACGCTGTAAACTTGCATATCCTACTTACGATAAAGATGTTCAACTCATCAATCTCTTGTCTCTCCACAAAATTAGAAGAAAACAATGGGCACGAAGCGAGCACAAACATTAAACAGATATTTTAAAAACAAAGTTTTTCTTGGACACTAGTGCAGATAATTTTTTCTCTGACTTTGAGATCAAACAGGCTTGACTTTGAGCTCTTAAGATGTTCTTAAGATGGTCAGAGCCACCCTCATCCTTCGGCCTGCACGTCTGAACTACACCAGACTGTTGCACAAGAATGCTCCATCTCAGCGGTTCCTTATGCTGGAGTTGCAAATCAACCAATTCTTGTAAATCCTTCTTGGAAATACTGCTAAGTATCAAGAATTTAGCAGAATCAAATCAAAATTGTAAAATAGCAACTATGTCATAGATGTTACAAGAAATAAAAACAATACTGACAAACACAGAAAAAATATGTTTTAGTTGTTTCTGTGGTAATTTTAACTGTTTGTTTGACTTACTAGCAATGGTTTCACATTCTAGCAATGGCTGTGTTTATTTTGTGTGACAGAAAAACGAAAGTTACTTTATCTAACGTCTTCATATTGTGAAGTACTTTGTTTAATGTCCGAGGAAACTGAGAAGCCAAGCTTTTATCATTGCTTTTTGAGCATTAAATTGATATATATAAAAAAAAAAAACTATATAGTGGAATTTATTTTAACATGTTGAAAAAACTAAATAAATCTCATTCATCTTTCTTCCATAAAGGAATTCAACTTTTAAGATTGCAGTTTTGATCACGTTTGTATTCTTCTGTACAAATATTTTCTTAAAACATTCTGTCACTAGAATATTTTTCACATTTCCTAAAATATTCTCAACAATTCAAAATAGGCTATATAAAATTAAAATATTCTTTTAAACTACTAAAGCCTTTGGGTATATTTTACGCTTATTATAAAACAATATCAGATTGAAATAAATTGCTTCAACAGCATGTTAGAGGAAAAAGGAAGCGTGAACTTAGTCTCCAGATTTGTGTGCATGAGCTCCCCTTTGTGGCCAGTGCTCATAATCGTATAATCTTTAATTCCAAACCTCTGTGGGGATGACCAGTCTGTCATCTTATTAAGCCCCTTAGCATGATCCAATTTAGAAGATATACATTGTTATGTATACATCAACTGTAAACAGTGTTTATCTGTTTATAAATTCAGCCTAATCTGTTCAAAGACTGCATCATACAAGAGGGACAAGCCAGTTTTATTGATCGGGATGATAAAAAGTAAGGCATGAAGATGAAATATCTCCCATTTGTCTCCAGGAACGGACTCGGAGCTTGTTGAGAGAGTGGTATCTCCAAGATCCCTACCCCAACCCGTCCAGGAAACGACACTTGGCCCAGGCCACGGGTCTCACGCCAACACAAGTCGGTAACTGGTTCAAGAACCGCCGCCAAAGAGACCGCGCCGCATCGGCAAAAAACAGGCAGGTTCCCACATCATTTTAAAGAGAGGAACACTGGAGTGGAAAAATCCTAAATACAACATTTTGTGGGGGAAGGAGGGCATTTCCATTTAAACTGAGGAGAGGCACCTTAACTAATTTCTGTCCCCCACCTCAGGCTTCAACAGGATCCGTCCGTCATGTCGTCGGAAGGCTCCCCTGACGGCGCCCTGCAAGAGCGGCACCCCCACCCCCACCTGCTGCCTACTTCCCCTCGCCACCTCGGCAGCCCAGAGGCAAGCGACTGCAGCACAGAAACTGAGCGCAGAGGGACGAGAGCGTCTACACCAGAGATCTCTGTCAGCAGCGATGGCGAGTTTGAGTCTTGAGATGATTCAATTTTTTTTTCATACAGGTACAAAAGCATAACATTATAGACTGTGAGACGATGGACATGCTACAGCTGCTGAAACAGAAAAGAAAAGTGGCAGGGAAACTTCTGCCTCTGAACAGAAGACTTTTTACAAGGAATTATGCACTTAAAAAAGCACTGAGAAGGGTGCTGGTCATTTCACCCCTTTGCTATGTTGTACTTTTTCAGTTTTGGTCTTTTTCTGGCAGGAAAACAAGGCGTCTGCCATGGGATGCTTTGTGCCGATGGAATTCATTTATACCAGGGACATCTCAAACACACTTTCACAACTAAATGAGTAAAAGAAATGTACTACAATTCACTTAGAGGCAAATATATGGAAATGTGCTTATGTGACTCTGTCAATATTATTTACCCGCAGAAGTTTGTTAACGTTTATTATGGTTTCAAGCGAGGTGATAATTCAGCTGCTTTTGTAAGAGTTAAAAATTGACCAAATGGCATTCAGAACAAAGCGCAAATTTTACATTTTTAAAACGAACGCCCATTTAGATGACAAATTATTACCAAGTGGAATAAACAGAAAAGCAACGGCTGAATAAACAGAAAAACAACGGTGAAATTGTTTACAGATTGTTTACAGCTTGCATGTAAACAATCTCTTTTCTAAAATAGATTGTTTACATGCAAGCTGGCAAAGGGGCAAACTGAACCTGGAGCCCAACGAAACCCATAGGCTTGGTTGTTGTTGTTGTTGTGTAGAATGATAAACAACTACTGGCTAACAGTGTGTTGAAGTCTCGGGTACAGATTTTAGAGCTAATCCTAATGTTCGTTAGGTCATGAAAATATTAGTACAGTTGTGTTTTTTTTTTTTTTTTTTTTTTTTTACTGTTTCAAATAAATCTGTAAATATAAATGATCTCGTAATAGTTTAAAGGGAAGCTGCATGCATTTGTGTGGATTTTGTGAAAAAATCTATAAGAACAATGCCTTGTTGTATTTATATAGCTGTATGTGAATATGTCACCATGGACAAGAATGAATTAATATTGACGTGCCCTTACAGATTTAAAGTAGTGTAAAACCATACATTGTCAGTGGTGCACTCATGTTTATGTGTGTCTCACTGTCGTCTTCTACTGCAGTGGTTAAAATGTGAGGGCAAACGTTGTCATTACAAACTACTTCGACTCTTTTCCCTGCCTTAAATGGAGCTAAGGGCATTCTGATAACGCAGGTTGTGAGTCTATACAAACTGTCTGTGACTACAACATGCCTGTGAGAGCACAAACTATTTCAACTACAGCCATTTTACCTGTTCCCCTTTCCCTGCTATCCCTCAATGGAAGATGCTGTCAGAGGTTTCCAAGCTGCTTCGAGTTCAAAGTTCACTGGTTCTTTTCTCCATGTGCCTATTGCATTTCAGAAAAATCAAAGCTAATCAAATGTGTCTTCATTAACACTCTCACAGGCCTGCTGTCTGACATAACTTTCTTACAACTGTCATTTCTCACAACGTTTCTGTAATTCAGTGAAAATGTGTATTTTGTAAATTTTTTTGTGCGAATAAGTAAAACTGTTTTTATCCAATGTGGTCGTGAGTTTTTGCATGTAGAAAGCTCCAAGCAGTATCTTGGAAGTGTAAATATAACGCTACATCATTGCACATTTTAGCAAAACTTATTTTAAGGAAATTTGTTGAGGTTAAGAAAAATGCAACCTGAAAATGTATAATTATAACATGTATACCTTTTTCTTTTTGCATTGACATCAAAAGAATATAATTTTGAGGCAGAATATTCTAAGTTTTGAAATATTTTTAGTGAATTTAAGTCACAACTCTAAGTTTTTAGGAGGCTTTTAATGTAAATGACCACAAATTGCTTTTTATATAAAAAACCTTTCTTTGATATACAACTCTTAAAAGTTGTAACTTTTCTCATAAAATCTGAGGTAATGATTTTTGACAGCATAACTATAATAAATACAAAAAATTGTAAACAGCATAATATATATAAAAGGTAAATTTAGCCTGACTCTGACATTTGTTTTGCATTATTTCAACTAAAACTCTGTAAATTGGTTCAATAACATTAATTTCTCTTTGGAATTAATTAAGTATTTTTGAACTGAACTGAATTTGAATCAGAATGTGATTTGTTTAATCTTAAATGACTGAACTAAACTGAGAATTAATAATTCCCAATAAATGTGTCTAAGCCAAAAAAAATGAAGCTAACAGTAAGTTAGCTTAAACTTTGACACTCCGCGAGTAAATTTAAAAAGCAATAGCTCAAGCTGTAGGAAACCGCAGCTTGAGCTACTTTGTAACAACAAAACCCTTACAACTTCAACGAATAGCTGACAAATAAAAGCTCTTACTTGTTTCCGACGACGTTGATTCAATTTTGGCAACGTTTCTGATTCTTTTGAAACCGCAGCCGTCCCAAAGATGGCGCCCGGTTTCTTTCCCGGGTCCATTTCGGTCAAAAGACGAAAAAAAAAAACGGCCACCATTTTGGGGAAAAAAAACTCACGGTTATTAAGGAATAGTAATCAAACGAGGTGTTGAATTTGTCACCATGAAGTTGAAAATGAGCTGTTCGTTTGGAGGATCAGTTCGGTAACGTCACAAATCCGCCATTATTACAAAGTTTTATTGCAAGGCTGCAATTTTCAGCGTCAATAAGACGCAGTATTGCATCTCACCGCCAGAGGGCAGTATAATAGCCTTATTTGTATGGCATCTTTGTGAGGAGGAACTGTTTTCGTATCTTCACCTCGGTAAATATGTAAACAGAGGTGTAAAGTACACTACCACTATATTTCATATATAACAATAAAATAATGATAAGAGCAAATTATTTAACTTGTTTAGTGATTTACATCTTTGTTGCACTTCCTCTGGATTTCATGATAAACTAGAATTTTAATTGAACTGGGTCAAATATTAGATTATTTAGTCCCATCTTTGCCATTCTTCCAAAGCAGTAGATAAATTAGTGCTGGATGGATGGATGGATGGATGGATGGATGGATGGATGGATGGATGGATGGATGGATGAAGTGTTAGAAAATGGATGGATGGATGAATGGATTGATTCAATATTAAAGTTGTCGTAGATCAACAAACCTGCATAAATGGTAACTAATAATCCATACAGAGTCTGCAGAGTGCATCACAAAATGCTGAACTAAACCGAAAGGTTATTTGTGGAAGTTCTTCTTTCATATACAAAACAAAACCTTTCCTGCTTCAACAAAAAATGTAAAACTCCACCTCTCCCCACCCTCCTTCGCCATAAAACGGGTGTTTTTACATTGTGTAACCCCACCCACGCTTCAAGAGTAGACTTCTGCCCAGCTGTCAGTTGTGATCCCAGCTAAGCTCATGCATGTTTACCTTAAATATTAAGCTTGATCAGGCTCTCGTTGGACAGGTGGGAATATCTTGAACTGTTAGCGAAAGCATGGACAGCCAAGGGAGGAAGGTGGTGGTTTGTGACAATGGGACAGGGGTGAGTAAGTGCTTCAAACTCTTTCACACATCATAACATCACAGATTGTTTTTCTTTTTGGCTTGATGCTATATAGCCTTCATCTTTACAAGCTATTCCAACATTGGTGATATTGTCATACAAGTCAGGTATGCTGCATCTCTAACAGCGTTTTGATTCATGGGTTTTCAGTCAAACAGATGTAGAAATCCTGCAGGGTGTGAAACTCGGCGCATACTGCAGCCTTGTTGCATGAGTCTGGACCTGTCTCTACTGCTTTTACAGACATCCATCCATAAATGGTTGTGATGGTTTGAAGGGAGCAAGCAATTGGATGAAAAGCAGGAAGAAGTATGAGGTGTTAAAATGCTCAACGGGGCACCTTATAGGATTTACGTGTTTATTTTTAAGAATATTGGCAAATAAAATTCATACCAAGCTGTTGGCCTACATTTTTTTCTTATTCATTGATTTTATTTTGTTTTTTTTATAGGAATGTGTTGCATTGCTTCAGGCTAAGGAATGTGTGTTCGTCCGAACAGACATGTTGAGACAGTAAAGTGAGACGTTTCATCTTGATAGAACCTGTGGTTGATTTCATAGCGTTTGAACACTCTGTGACTATTTATTTAAATGCCTTCATGCACATACTTTTCCAATTGTGTGATTGAAAAAAATCAATTCATCTGAGTTCTGTATACTCGCAGCACAAAGTCTGAGTTTCGATCGACGAGCAGAAATGGGAACTTTATTTGCGCACACACCCGGAATGTACTTCATGTTTCTTTTCCCACTTCCCCTGCGCAGTTTGTCAAGTGTGGCTTTGCTGGGTCCAACTTCCCCGAGCACATTTTCCCAGCCATGGTGGGACGGCCAATCATCCGGTCAACCACCAAAGTGGGCAACATTGAGATTAAGGTGAGCTTAATTAAATAAAAACAAAAAGATGACACAATGTTAGAAAAAAAAACAGCTTTTTCATATTCAATCACATCACAACCTTCAGTGTATTTTATTGGGATTTTGTGAAAAGAATCCAAAGTTTTCACCATTTTTGACAATTAAAATTCTAAATGTTTTTAATAACTGTGATCATAATGTGACAAAATGTAAAAAATAAAAATAAACTTTCGCATAATTACACATAGATAAAGAGGCAGTCATTTAATGTAATTAATTTACTGACCCTTTGCTAATCCAGTTGTGAAGCATTTGGTGGTTGAAACAATGCACACAGTTCATTTTATACACTAAGGTAACCTGTGACTGCCCAAATCATGAAAGCCTTTAAGTATCCTGATCCTGTTGGGACTGCAAAGGAGATAAATAGATCAAACTGAGGGGCAGATTACGTGGCTACTTGATACGTCTTCTAGTTTGACATTAAAATGTATTTTGTGGATGTGAAATTACTCACTGTAGGAAAATTGGAATCTATATTAAGAAAAATATCTCTTTAAATTATCTTATCTCCTAATATATCAGTAAAAAAAAAAGAAAGAAACTGAAACTTTTTCATGTTTTGCAAAGAACACAGTCATCCCTGTACACTAGACAAAAGACATTTAGAGTCTTACTGTCATGTGTCTGACCTCTTTCACCAGGACCTGATGGTTGGGGATGAAGCCAGCAAGTGCCGCTCCATGCTGGAGGTGTCCTACCCCATGGAGAACGGCATGGTGCGATGCTGGGAAGACATGCTGCACCTGTGGGACTACACCTTTGGCCCACAGCGTCTCAACATCAGCCCATCAGAATGCAAGGTGATGACTACACACAGAGGGCTGGTCCTGGTTTTCACAGGACTATGCTCTTTGAGGATAGCTAACATTATTTGTTGTTTTGAAGATCTTGCTGACTGAGCCACCCATGAACCCCACCAAAAACCGAGAGAAAATCGCTGAGGTGATGTTTGAAAAGTACCAGTTTCATGGGATCTATGTGGCGATTCAGGCCGTGCTCACACTCTACGCCCAGGGTACGTTTACATCAAGTTTCCGCTTTTAAGGCCGCATTAAAAATTAACATCCCCTGAATACTTTATGCTTCGACTCATCCACCAGTGGGCAGATTTTCACTATTTGACATGTTGTGTTTGTTCAGGTTTGCTTACAGGGGTGGTTGTAGACTCGGGAGACGGCGTCACCCACATCTGTCCAGTTTACGAAGGCTACTCTCTACCCCACCTCACGCGTAGGTTGGACATTGCAGGACGAGACATCACGCGCTACCTCATTAAGGTGGAGCACTCAGAAAAATGTAATTCTTTCTATATTACCATTAGTTTTGCTTTTACAAGTGATGCTTAATCCTTCCTTCAGCTCCTCCTGCTGCGTGGCTATGTCTTCAATCACACGGCTGACTTTGAGACGGTGCGGATGTTGAAGGAGAAGCTCTGCTACGTTGGATACAACATTGAACAAGAGCAGCGCCTGGCCTTGGAGACCACCTTCCTGGTAGAGTCCTATACGGTATGTTTAGGAGCAACAGCCAAGAAGACATACTTTCAGGTTTTATGGTAATTGATGAATGTTGGGGTTTCCCCAAGAAAACTTGCTAAACCCAGCGCTAGGGGCACGAGGGCAGTCTATCAGCTGTTTTCGAGTTTAAAAAATATTTAAAGTTCACAGAACATTTGAAAATATCACTATGTAGCTATGTGGTATTGGAAGACGTTATGAACACCATTTATAAAGTCTTAAAAATAATGCACTTGGGGAAACCCTGAACGTGTCCTAGCTGTTTAAGTCTTACTGGTCTGTGTGTTTGCTGCAGCTCCCCGATGGCCGGCAGATAAACGTAGGTGGAGAGCGATTTGGGGCTCCAGAAGCTCTTTTCCAGCCTCACCTCATCAACGTGGAAGGAGCCGGCATGGCTGAGCTGCTCTTCAATACCATCCAGGCTGCAGACATTGATCTTAGGTCTGAGTCTTCCCTCTTCGGCTGCCTCTGATAAACCAAAGAACTGATACTGACACATTTCCACTGTGTTTTGCTGGGCAGGGCTGACTTCTACAAGCACATTGTCCTGTCAGGAGGGACCACCATGTATCCCGGCCTTCCCTCCAGGCTGGAAAGAGAGATCAAGCAACTCTATCTGGAGAGGGTGCTTGATGGAGACACAGAGAAGCTATCAGTAAGAATTCAAAGGGCATTAATGGCTGTAGAAAACCGGTGAACATCTGTGTTGATTCTTGAATAACATAACAAATACCCAATGTTACTGGTAATCAAACAAATTTTCATTTAGGGGACACATCGCATTCAAGAATGTGAAATTCACAAAACTTTCTAAGAAACTGCTGAAATATTAACAAATGTCTGTTTCTGCGTTCAAGAAGTACTTTTTAAAATACTTAAAATAAACAGACACCCTGTGTTTTCATGTCCATACCTTGACCCATACCTTTCTTCACTTTACTTTGCCCCTCTGCAGAAATTCAAGATCCGAATCGAGGACCCGCCCAGACGCAAGCACATGGTGTTCCTGGGCGGAGCAGTGCTGGCCAACATCATGAAAGACAAGGACTCCTTCTGGCTCAGCCTGGAGGAGTACAGGGAGAAGGGCCTGGCCGTGCTGCAAAAGCTGGGAGGAGGAATCCGATGAAACAATTACAACAGAAAAGACAGAGAGAAACCAACGTATGAACTAATGCTAATTTCTTCATCAAAAAGATTGCCCAGTTATTGCCCTTCTCTCTTCTCTGTTCATAAAAACAGTGAGCTTTAGTCTACTGCTTCTTTTACCATAAATGCTGTAAAGCAACTGGATTTTGCAAGTTTTATTTCTTGCTTGGTTTACAGTGTCATCTATATTTATTGGTCCTCCATTTTTTGGCCTGTTTATAAATGTACAAACAAAAAGTTAAAACCGGTATCTTCCTATAGAGGATAAAAATAACTGGTAAAATCATCACAAACATAAAGTCATATGGAAATGAACGAAACAGATCGACTCAGTTGGCCTTACTGGCATTTTCCTGGGACCACTTACCCCATAAAAACAAATAACTGAGTCTGAATTGTGAATCACACATTTTGACTTGTTCTTTGGAAAAACATGTATTTGTATTTGGAAGTGGGTGCCTTCCATTGTCATAAGATGAATAAAAAATTTCCAATATTTCTAAAATGTTAACAGTGATCAAGCTAACTTTGTTTGCCAACGAGAAATCCAAGATGAATGATTTGGAAAAGATACTCATTTGAAAAAATGATAAAAAATATAAAATAATATGTGAGTTTTCACTTTGAAATTTCTGCATAGAGCTATTTGTTTTAGTGTTGTCCCTTCAGCCTCTGCAGCCAGTGTTTTAATGAGATGCTATCAAATAAATTCTATAGGACAAAAATTACATGATGATGTATTAAATTGTTTCATGTCAATTCTGCAAAAGAAAAAAAAAACCCTGAGGCTAGAAAAACTAAGAATGAGGTGAAAAGACTGATTGGATTTTGCTGCCACCTAGTGGTGATTGAGATTATTCAAGACAAAATCCTTCCTGGAAGCACGTGGCGCTGGTACAGATATTGCAATCTTTATTGCGATACTGCATTACCTGACAAAATACAGTCAAGTGTGTGTTGTTGTTTTTTTTCTTCTTTTTTACATTGAAAAGAATTGGTGAGCTCCCACAGTAAACACATGCTTCAAACACACACACACACGCACACACCCAAACACGCATACACACAGATCAATCTTCACATTGAATGAGAAAGCATGCAACAATGTTCACATCATAGCTCTCAAAAACAAACCTTCTCAGTCAGATTAAAAACTCCAGATATGCTGAAAATCTGCACTTTCATATCCACACAACAAACAATTTCAATTTAGCTTTAAATTCACAATGTGATAGTTATATATATATACCTATATATATATAGATTTGAAAGTGACACAGAGTCAAACAGTCTGTTGGCATTGATGACTTGCAGCAGGAGTCCCAGAAGCTGGTGACGAGGACATTTACATTCTTGCAGTCCTCATGAGGTCCTGATTTGTTTGTCAGAACACAATACTTCATCTTACACTTAGGCCAAGAGAAACAACACAACTCAGAGCAGATTTAAACAATAAAAAATGGACTCAATGCAGAAAAAATGTTATTTAATACATTCGCAAGTCAGTCAGTAAGTTGATCAACTTGTTGCAAGTTGGGTTTGTTTTTCCTCCCTGATCAAATTTTGGCCCAGCTACAACAATTACCATTTTATAACCCATTAACAAGGCTGTAATGTTGAGATTTCACCAGCAGGTGGCAGTAATGTTGACGTAATTATTTGAAAAATCAAAAGAAGGAGATTCTGAGCATGGCTAAAGAAGTGCTCGGCTGAAGGTCTCTGTAAGACACGATAGATTTGTTCGCTTCATATATTTAGAAAGAAAAATAACAATGTTTACACTTCATTCTTCACAAGACATTGAAGTGTAGTGACTACTGCAAATTTCTGACCAATAGTTGTCTGTCACCAAAGTAGGAAACAACATTCTGCTCAAACCATCGAGAACAAGCTGTAAGAACACCAGGGCTGCAGAGAAATTGAATTATTGATTTCCCAAAGCCCTAGGAGAGGGAACAAATTTCTCTGAGCATGTTCAGGCTTTAAGGCTTCTTCTCTAAAATTCGGCACGTGGCCAGAAATTTGAAATGGAGCTTGCTAATGGAAGGCAACACTTCTGCTGCTGTTGACTTATCGGGTAGTTTGAGGATGCAGTTTCCAGACCAGAAAGAAGTTTCTTGTGAAGCAAATAATCTTTCTCCCCCAAAGAGTTCAACTGCAGAAATCCACACTTGGGAAAAGTAGACATATTTACATTTGTCCTTTTCCCAATTAACAATACCAACTGTGAATTTCTGACCAATCACTTGATTGCTATCAGACATGATATGAGACAAGAAGTTTGGCCTCGATGAAGAAGAAACTGGGGGAAAAAGAAAGAAGTCATCTTTTTTGCTTTTGACAAATCTCTTGTTAAAAGCAAGAGTAAGTTCTTGCTTTTAAGGTTCCCTCAAAAACTATTCCACTGGTTTTAAGCACAGATACCCAAATAGGGACGTGTGCAAAGTGGACTTCAAACACAGACCAGTTTTTAAAAATCTGCACTTTAATGAGTCACGTTCAAATTCTCTGTTGTTTTCCCAAAACATGATGGGATTAGAAGGGACTGTTGTCTTATTTATTTATTGGTATCAAAGGGAAAAACATGTCGTGTGAAGAAAGGTGAAAATAATGAATGCCAATGTTGGCATACCTCAAAAAGAGACGGCAAGCTTCGGATTATAACTTTTGCAAGACCATACTTTTCACGGTTGGTTGCATGAGCGTTGATAATCGACAAAATATTCAAATAAATAAATTATTGAACACAAGCACTATGTTCTCTTGTATTGTTGCCTGGTGCTCTGAATGAGGCAAAAAGCCTGTCAGGAATGTTAACATGTTTTTAAACTACTTTTATCAATATTGCGGCAAATTTAAGAAATTTGTTACAAAATTTTAGGTCCATATTACCTTCCCCTAGCGACGAGATGCAAAAGAAGAAGACAAAATATTAGTTTGGCAAAAATATCCTGGTTAGTATGGAGAGGATCTTAAAAAAAACAAACAAACAAAAAAAAAACTGAAGCTTTTCTGCCACCTTCGTCCCACTTTCTCGTTATTCCACCAGCAAAAAAAAAAAAAAAAAAAAAAACCCTGTGAGAAACTGAAAACAAGGAGGGAAGTCTGTGCCTTCGCTCCATCAGGCAAGCATAAAGCCATTTCTGTGGGAGACTGTTATGCACAGCTGGTTTCCAATTTCATTTCTTTCAAAAACCCTGATGCTGCATGTTCTGTCACTTTGGTACTGCAGTTCGGTCTTGGCCGTGGGGCATCTCACGTTTTTTTGCGAGGCCACATTTCAGGGAACCACAGAAAAGGTCGCATCCCCCACCCGAGAAACAGCTGCAGATTTTTGCACAGAAAGTGAAGCAATAATACATCCAAGTGTCTTTAAGACTTAGCCCAGACTTACAACGTGAAAGGGTTACATCACCACGGTGGACAATTTGCCTCCCTAAGTGCGTACAGGAAGTGGTTTTTTGTTTCCAGGCAACAGCAGTCTCACAGAATTTGTGTTCTTTGGATTCGAGCCTCGGCGTCTCTTAATGATGTAATCCCTTCATGGTACAACTCTGGGTTCATGTTGCAGAAAAAAAAAAAAAAAAACAATCAAATCCATATATTACACATTTTCCATGTCACAAAACAGCACACTCCTTTTAACACAAGCGGCCTCAACGCGTGGCACAACTTTCGGCAAGTTGTCTCTGCTTTTTGCTCTGGTCCGTTCAGGATCAGGACCGTCACTTTTCACGAAAAAGTCCCGACCCGTGACGAGGCACAGCGCACCGCGGGAGGGAGGAGACACAAAGAGAGAGAATAAGAGACAGAGGAAAAACACCAACCATCCACCCATCTCCCCCTCCTCCTCCTCCTCCTCCTGCTGCTTCCTCTGTGCCTCCCACTCACTCCTCGCACACCGACTCGCTCAGGTCCACGGCACCACCTCTGGTGAGCCGCCGCATCTTGCTGAAGTCGTGGTCGGTCCTCAGGTAGGAGAGCGAGGGCCCCCCCTCGCTGTGGCTGGCCAGGTCCTGGGGCTGGGCCTGGGGCGGCAGGGCCCTCATCTCACCGCCGCTGCGCCAGAACAGTGTGTATTGCTGCGGGTCGGACACTCCGAAGGTGGAGGCGCACAGCTGCGCCAGGGCCTGGCTGGTCTCGCCGGCTCTCCACTGTAACGTCCGCACGGCGCTCCGCTCCCCGTCCTGGAACAGTATCCGAACGCACCTCTGCAGGTGGGGGGGAGAAGGAGAGGAGAGACGGATGGATAGAGAAAGAGAGAGAGAGGAACACGAGTGAACGCGTTTTGTGCGTTGATGACAAACAGAGGTCAAGAGGCTTATGGAGTGAGGGCAAAAGAGGGGGAGGAGTGAGGGATGAGAACGCCGAAAGCTGCAGGAAATGAGAAATGAGGCTCATAAGAGAAACAACCTCTAAAACAAAACTCCCGCTTCCCACACAGTCAGCCGGGTCGAAAAGCTTTATATAAACTTCCATCTTTCGTGGAGCTGCTTTTTCATCCGCCACTAACTCACCGGTTTAATCCTATAAGAGCTCCATCCCAACTTTCCCAAAGTTTCCCTCTGATCCAGACCGATCAAGGCAATCAAGCACGAAACTAAACAAGCTTCTGCATCAACAATTGCCACTGGTCGAAAAACACACGTTAGCCATTATATAATGTCCGATTCAGCCACCTACGGACGCCCTCACACCTCTGCGAGCAGAGCAACACACACAAAAGACATGGCATATAATCCCCTCACCAAACAGCCCGGTGTCGAGGAACCAGAGCAAATCCTCTTCTGTTCCACAAACACTCCGACAATCCTGCAAACACTTCCAGCCACGAGAAAACACAACGCACAAGTGTCTCCAAAGACAAGCCCCAAACAGAACCAAGAGAAAACACAGTCAGGGATCGACAGTCAACAGGTCTTTCCGTCATCAAAACTCACAGAGTCACTGAGCTCCTCGCTGTCCGTGTGCATATTGTGTTTGCCTGCTTCGACGGGTAGATGCAGCTCGATAAATTTCATGTTATCTGACCGCCCACCTCTTCATAGCACTTGGCTCACTGATCCTCGCCTGTGTCAGTGGAAAATCTGGCTGCCGGGTGAGTTAGATGGGCTATTTGAAGCCAGGAGAAGCACCACGTGACAAGATCGAAACGTGGATGACAATGAATTCCTTTTTCTTTTTTAAATGGCTTCTGGTGGACCTGTTACACCGACGAGAAGAGGTGATAAAAGGGAGAGTAGGCAAAATAAAAAAAATTAAAAAACATCAGCAGCAGAGTGCTATAGCTTCAGGGGAAGTCCGGTCGTAAACTGGCGGCTTCAGATCAAACGGATTACCTCTGGACCAAAAACAAAAAAAATCTGAAAATCCCGTCTCACTTTGAAAACCTTCAAGCATCCGGAAGAATAATTACAGCTTGATATAAAATGTCCGTCAAACGTGTGTGACTGCATCGCCCTGGCTGCCAACGTCACAGATGTAGGACAATTAGATGATGCTGCCATCAGTGTAATTAATTACTGTGATGTCTGTGGCTTTGTGGATGGATTATCTTTTGGGTTTGTTTTTTTCATGATGTTGTCTGTTGACCATTTAAAAGATGGCAGAACAGGTTTGAAATTATATGCAATCTCTGTAAGGTTTTCATTTCATAAAAAGGACACCTGGTTCAGTTGCAGCTGCCACTTGCTTCGGCTACTCCTCCTTATCCTTTTTCTTTTCTTAGAGTAAGGGATCCTTCACTGGAGCCACGGAAAGAACTATTGCCACCATCAACTTTCTCTGTTTTCCTGCATCTTTCATAGAAAGTACAGGATGGAGGATGTTGCTTCCATTAAATTTGCATTCATTCTCTGCTTCCCTTTCCATAGAAAGTGACGTCTGACTCGGTGCGTGTGTTTATGTGTGGTTTTCTTTCTGGATGGAGTCAGTGATGTTTTGCTGTTGTTCCTGTTAACCTTGTGTTGCTTTTTCAAAGAAAGTAGCCCAGGTTCTCTGTTGTTGTGTTTTATCAGTGAAGCCTTTAACTTTGCTTTTTTAATTTTATTTTTATTGAAAGTATTTAGCCATGCTTTTGTTTTTGGACGGAGTCGCTGACCTAGCTGTCGATGGAATTAACTTTATGCGCTTTCTTTCTGCTCATCTGCAGTGTTTACCAGTAGCTACGGGAAGGGTTTGTTCACTGCCACTGAAAAACATCCTGGCTCAGCAACTCTGTGCTAAGCTATGTTTATTTTTTTTATGCACTGAGTCACTAAAGAATATCATTATTTGTTGTTTCCATCTGTGTGTGTTTTTTCTGTCCCATCATGGCAGACGGCAGCTCACACTTAACTCGGTTCTTCTGGAGGTTTTCTTCCTGTTTATTCAGAGTCTTTCCGTCCCACTGCCACCACATGCTTTCTCAGCTGAAGGACTGCTGCAAAGTCACCGACTAGCTACACTCACTTGCGCTTAGCTAGATTGATAACTTTCAATAAACTGGTTGATGAAAGTTATCAATTCAACCCAACACGCTCCAATTGAATCTGAATGTGAACTTGATGGAAAGAACTGGATGCGAGGCGTGCTGCGGTGGCGCAGGGGGTTTAGCACGCCCCACGTTTGGAGGCCTCAGCCCTCGACGTGGACGTCGCAGGTTTGACTCCTGGTTCCGGCGACCTTTGCCGCATGTCTCGCCCTCTTTCCTGACTGCCTACCATCAAAAATACGAGCCACTAGTGCCGCAAAAACTCTCTGGAGAAAAAAAGAGTTGGATGCATTCTTTTAAATTTAACCAATCAATCAATTTTAGGAGTTGTTTGCTTCTAACACTGGTGAAAGCTCAAACTGAGACTTGCAGTAATATTAGAGTATGTGGTTTCTGTTTTATTGTCATCCATCAGTGGCGTTAAGCAATGCAACCACACAAAGCAAATTAACTTGCTTTTGTTCTTTCTTTATGTGGTGATTTTTAGAGGCTCTTTCCTTAAATTTAGTTAGAATCTGAAGAAGTTAAAAAAAATTGCAAGTGCAATTACTAGATGGAATAATTTGGAAACATGATACACAATAGAAACATGTATTAGAGAGAAGCAAACCTAAACTGAGAGGTTAGCAAAAATCTCCCCAATTCAAGCCAGCGTCCACACCTTTACTCAACAACGAGTAAAAGTATGTCACACTACGAGAGCGACAAATGGCAGCAGGACAATCTGTGAAATGGAAGCATGTGCAACGACGGTAGAATAAATCCCTCCACAGCAAACCCACTACAATGAAAAGAGAGCCGGTGCCTACTTGGCTCTGCTGGGTTTCCTTTTGTTTCTGGGCCTCCAGGGTCCGTCTGCAGCTCCACTCCTTCAGAGCTGCCTGCACTTGTGGCGTCAGGCAGCCGGAGAACGGCTGATCCTGCTCCAGGCTCTGGATCAGGCACAGGCTCGCATAGACGCTGGTCAGGTAGTACCCGCCTGCAGGCAGAAAAAACAAACAAGAAAAAAACCGGTGGTGGGAGGAAAGAAAAGTATTTAGCGCGTATTGCAAGCAAAACAATGACTTTGACGATCAGCTACAACAGAGCTATTTTAGGCAACAGCTAAGTTATGACAGGGGTGATAATTCAGCAGCAGCTGAAACCACAAATGTACATGAACTGAATAAAAAGACACATCCACCTTCTTTTTCCTCCGCTGTCCAAAGTCAAATCAGACTAAACTTTTCCTGTTTTAGGTTGATATGAATCACCAAAACTATTGTTTATTTACTAAATATCGCAATCATGAAAGAGAAGACATTTATTTATTAATGTCTTCAAAAATCAGAACTTTACATGCATTTCCCGAGTATCATTTAGTAGCATTGCCTTTGAACTGTTGACTTGGGTCAAACCTTTTTGGAAATAATTAATTTTCCTCTTTTTCTTTTTTATTATTATTATTATTATGGTTAGGTGATTGGTTATTATTTTATTTGTTTGTTTAGCCTCTGTTCTGATGGTGCGTTGTTGCTTATTCTCCATGTTGGGTTTGTTCATTTAATTAGTCTCACTTCTCCTGCTTGGCATTTTCCCTTCACAGCTGTTCCACATTACCCTGATTAAGCTCCTCCTAATCCAGTCTCGTTTTCTACTATTAGGTGATAAAATACTTTTGTTTTTCGATAGTGATTCCCTCAGTCTATTAGCTCACAATGTTCCTATCTTCATGCCGTCTGTGCTCCATACTGTGACGTCCTTGGCCACTTTCAGAATTTTCATTTATTTATTTTTACTTATTTCCTTTATTTAACTTCTGCATACTCAGCAGTAGCCTTCATCTGCATTTTTGTCCTCCTAATTCCCAAAACTTAACAAATGCAGCCTCATTTTCCTCAGTTTTAGGTCGTTGCTCCTCATTCAGCTACTGACTGTTAAGATACAAAACACATCCATGGAGGAGCTGAGGGGGAAAATCACAGCTGACCAAAAACAAAATAAAGGTTCATCTCCCATTTAGAAAAAAAAAGACATCTTGATGATCTCCAAATAAGACAAAAGCAAAACTTTTACGGAACCTTTTGGAACGTGTGCATCCTGTTGCATCTGCCGTGAAACTGACAGCATTTAAAAAAAGGAGCGCCGTATTGAGCATCTCAGTGTGAAGTTTGTCACAACAAAAATGTCACAAATCGTGACATCTTTGTTAGCAGGTAGAAGATTAAAGAATTAAATAATGAAATTATTTCATCAAGCACTAAAAAGAGCAGTGCGGAAAAACAATCATCATGTAAACGTGATCATTTTAAAGCTTTGTGCAGCTAAAGTGCTGGCCTGAAAAGCAACATTTTATTAAAAGAAAACTCAGAGAATACATTGCTTATATGCTCAATATGTGGTTGTGTTTTCGGGTACATTTCATGTTGAATATACGTTGGTGCCGCAGGTTTTGCTCGGGGTTTGGGTCGTACCTTCTCCACCGAGCCATGAGGGCTCCAGCAGCTCCATCATATACTCCACCTCGATCAGCAGGTGAGGCCTGTTGCATTCAACGATCACATAGGACAGAGCAGGGAGGAAATCGTCCCAGCTGACATCCTGACCTGAAAAACAAGAGCATGTCATCGAATACTTGCCATTTCAAATGAAATAATTGCATAGGGTGAGTAAATTATGTGCGGAATACAAGATTTTTGTGAAACTCAGCGACACTGTCGTGTCCCGCTCTAGTGCTACCTGGTTGGGACATATTTGGTGAATTTGGCGTAGTGAAAAAAAAAAAACAATAAAAAAAAATCTGAATTTTGTCAATTAGAACAACATGTGCTACAATTCACAAGGCTTTCACTGTGACCTCGTCGGACGGGCGGCAGCCTCACCGGGTAACGTCCCCATCGCCTTGTGGACGAACTTGCACACCTGGAGCAGCAAGAGCACTTTATCGATGGGCGAGTGGGTCCGCTGCATCAGGATCAGCTTCTGCTTCACCCTCTCCACCTCTCGGGCGTCCGGGACCCCCGTCCGCACGCCGAGCCGCTCCATGGCGCCGGTGCCTTTCAGGCGCAGCAAGTTCTGAGTGAGGCGCTGGGTGGAGCCGTCGCGTCCGTGGAAAGAGGTCAGGGCTTTCTCCAGGTGGCACTTCAAAGGCCTGAGGATGCAGGAGAACATGGCCCGCTCCAACGCCAGGTCTGCAAAAAGAGGAAAAGAGGAGGAAGGAAGATGAACATTGATTTGGCGTCGTCATTTGAGTGGTTTATTTTGACTGAAAAAATAAACACAAGAACAGGCAATATGCCCAGAGAGGGATGCACTGACCAGTGATAGTACAAAAGTACAAAACACATAAACACACATAAATGTAACTGGCTACAGATGTTAAGCTCTTATCCGTTTTCTAGTTTTACTTCCTCTTATTAGTGTGTTTGTAGTTTCAATCAACAGTTACGTACATAAAGTTTCTAAAGTGAGATTAGGAACTGAATATAATGAACCCATCATCCACACCAAGCTACAACAGATGAATACATTAATTCAAGCACTTTCTTCAGAAACAAAGTCACTGCTTTAATTGGCAAAGGGTTAAAAACTCTCCTACCTGAAATGCGGCGCCAAAAAGGGCAACTAATGCAAAGTAATAAATATGCATCAAATAATTAAAAAATATCATGCTTTTATCACAAAGGTATAGTTATAATCTTATTAGAATAGTAAACACCACAAATATGCTTCCAAGCTAACCAGTCCCTAATTTGTTATTAATTATTCTGTGTATGTGCATGTGTATGGTAAATTTAATGTCAGTAGATTGGTTTTCATAGAGTTAAGAATAAATCATACATTTTCTATAAATTTGCATGTACTTGTGGGGTTTGTCATCGAAAGCAAAAAAAATACTAATTTTTTTTTGACCTGATTGGACAAAACCAAGGCGATTTTTTAGATTCAGCTCATCAAAATGACCCCAGACAGTTTTTTGGGGGGGGGGGGTGTTAACCAGAGTTATAATCACTCAAAAAGCCTCAACTCACCCTTGAACAATTTTGCACATGTTCATCAGGAGCGCCAGAAATGTGACACTGATTTGATTTTCACCTCGGGGTTTAATTCTCTCCCAGATTTGCCGCGCTGTCGCTTTGAAGACAAATTACTTGAGTCCAGTTTCGTTTTGTCAAGAGAGGAAGCCCATGTGTCCGTAAAAGTGATGTTGTTGTTTTCGGCCCGGCAACAGTAATTAATGATATCCAGCCTCGTGTCCGTGCACATGCTCGCGCGTGCAGACCCTCTCGGCGTGGTCAGTGGGCAGTCCTGACTCAGTACTTTCTACTTCTCATCAATCTCTTCCTCCCCCTCCATCATGTTTCCCTCCTGTTCTGTCCCACACATCTCTCCTCCATCCACCTTACTACACTAACCCCGTCCCTGTGATCAATCGCTCCTCTTCCTCGCTCCTCCCTCCAACATGGCACATGTAACGTGATTACTGCTCTGTTACAGGCGAGCAGCCTTGGCAGAAAGGTGAGTAGATTTTATTTTATTTTTTAAAGCTGTTACTCACAGACCTGTAACTGATTACACTTTCCAAGTAACCCGTCTATTTCCATGCCTCCCTCCCGCCCTGCAGCGAATCGTGTAGCTTTTCAAGTGAGCGTGGGACTCTGATATCTTTTTATGATAAACGAGGGGGAAGAGGAGAAAAAAAAAATGCAAATGCCTCCCACCGACGCAACGAGAGATAAATCAGAATCGCAGCGCAGAAAGGAAAGAAGGAAGGAGGAGAGGATGGGCAACCAACGTTCGTCATCACACACAGAAAAACACCTGCGAGGCACGTACAGAGAAGTCCAAAAAAAGGGAAAAGTCCTGCGCATGGTGCTGTGTCAGCACAACCAGCCACTTTCCTCCTGTGATGTCTTTGAATGGGAGGCTTGCGCGCGTCAGGCGGGGCTATCCCGACGCTGTTTGTTAAATATCAGAGACAACATGACCACCCCCTCCAACCAGCACTCTAATACTGCACAGCCTGCTGTGTGTTGACAGCAGCCCACCACGTCTGCTTCTGTAAGACCTTCCGCCTCTGACACATCGAGATGGATGAATTCTACTGTTTTTAACTCTAAATTAAAAACACTAATCCTCATCATTAAGATGTTCAAATAATGTAAGAAACTTTCAAGTACAGACGAATCAGGATTCCCCCCTCCAGTGTTTTACGAGCCTGGCGGGCCACCAGGCTTTCCTTGTGCACCCACCAGGCTGAGCATTGCTTATTTATTTAAATATTTTAAAACTGTTTGCATTGTTTTTAAAGACTTTATGGTTGGTGTTCTTGTATTAATATTCCAATCTTTCAATGACACACAATTATCAAGTGATATTTTCAAATTTCCTGTCAACTTTAAACATTTTGAACAGGAAAACGCGGCGGGCCACTGGATGAATGACTGACCGAACATCCAAACACCAGACTCAGCAAGCTTATGGGGGAAACAAATAATACTTAATGTAAAAGGACAAGAGTTTTAAAGGACAACAGTCCTTTTAAATTAGACCTTTATAATATCAAATATGGCTCTCTATTTTCTTTTTTTTTTAAACAAAAAATATAACTTGCACAATAACACAGGATATTAAAAAGAATTCAGCAAAAATACTGTCTGAAAATCAACATATCCAATTGGGAAAAGCTCTGATTTACTCATTTATCTTCCATAAAGAGCCTTAAGCAATAGATCTGTTTGACTGAGTGAGTGACAGAGCAGCCAGCCTCACACAGCTCATCATCATTTGCAATTAAAGACGCTAGATTAAGCGCATATGCCTTATGAGACTTACAAAATGTCCACTTCACTCTGTATTCCCGCATCTAAATATGCTAAGATGCAGGTGCCATTTTTTTCTTCAAAGTGGGACAAACCAGAGAACGTGCACACAAGGAAGAAAAGGTGGGAAATTTTGCAGAGAAGGGAAACAACTTTTAAACGAATTAACCCCCCCACCCCCAAACAAAACCTCAAAGAAACCAAAAGAAAAACATTAATAAAGAGGAGAGTAATTGATAGATCAATACCTGGATGATGGTATGGATGATGGGTTCATTATATTCAGTTCCTAATCTCACTTTAAGAGTAGTACTGACCATTAAATTGACTTATTGCAACCTTCTCCTTGTGGCTCCAACTTAAGGATCAACAGGAAACGCTTAGTGTAGAGTAGGAATATGAGCAGCAGTCGAAACTGGTTATTGAGGAGGAACTAATGTAAAACCCTGGAGGGTGACCTTTACGGTCACCCTCCAGGGTCATCGTCCTTTTGCACTTTTTGGTGCCCGGATTAAACTCTGCAAACAAAACCATGCGCGCATAACCCAAATCAAAGCAAACGAGGTCTGGTGGCTCCCTGGTGTGTTTACCTTTCTCGTTCTCTGGCACCAGGGTTTCGATGGGGGGCTCTAGCTCCCTGCTGTCCAGCAAGCAACACTTTGCCTGCGACAGGAAGAGGCGCAGGCTCTGCAGCAGCTGCGCCGACGTGACGCCGAGAGGCGGCGACGCGGAGCTCAGCGTCTTCAGCGCCTTCCTCTGTTCCTGCAGGAAGTCCTGCACCGTGCCGCCGAACACCGAGCGCCTGTCTCGGGCCAGCTCCTCCACCAGCCGGGTCAGGCGCTTGTCGGGCGCGAAGAAGCACACGAAAGCCTCGCTCATGCGACGCATGCCGCCGCGGCCTCGCGAGCGGACGAGCGGCGGGCGGGGGAAGGAGTGCGTCTGGGCCTGGGCCGTGCTTTCGGGCTCCGAGTCCGAGTCGGGCTCGTCGTCCATGCTGCTGAAGGAGCTGCAGCTGTCCAGCTCGGCCAGTGACGGAGCCGGACGGCGCTCCAAGCCCAGAACCGTCCCTTCGATTCCCGCCTCAAGCTGCAACCTGGGCGTCTCGTCAGCGGCAGCGGACGTCTTGAACGAGAGAGAGAAGTTGGTGGATTTTTTGTTTTGTTGGAAAGCGTGTAGAAACTTTTAAAAAAAATCAACCAGGAGAAACGTCAATTGGATTTTTGCAGTGGATCCTCAGGACTGACCTGTGGCACGTACACGGCCATCATGTCCTCTTCCTCCGCCGAGCCAGGCGACACAGCCGGGGTTCTCCTCAGGACTCCAGCCCCTGCGTGAACGCGTCTCTGTGGGTTTGGGCTGGCCTTCTGCAGCCCCTCCGACGCCCCGGGCTGCTCCAGGGACAGCGGCGGCGAGTAGGAGCCGACGCCTTCCAGGGACAGATTCATGGAGGACTCGGAGAGCCGCAGACGCATGCTGCGCTTGAAGCGGTGCCGCTTGTTGGAGGCGCTGTGGTTGGTGTGCTGCGGCTGCCGCAGTTCGGAAAGATTCGATGCAAATTCAATTTGTGGTCGCGGTAGTTTTTTTTTTCCTTCTTCTTTCAGCTTTGTAACTTACCTTGCAAACCTCCAGCTGAAGAAACAGGGGGTTGATGAAGCAGACCTTGCCTTGTTTGCCCCGCGTGAACAGGGAACAGGGAGTTCCCGCCATTTGGGCATTGGCGCCGCTGGTGGACGCAACTGACCCCAAAGGACCATTTTGGATGTCCGCAGCGCTCGGTGCGCTCCAGAAATCTAATGGAAAACAACCCAATTAGTTCACCTTTAAGGAAGCAGTGCATAATTATACAGGAACTCATTAACCGTTGGAGCAATTTATTCTTTATTTCTTTATCCAATTTTACATTCTAATCTTTGTTATGAAATAAAACACAAATATTGCTGCTTCTGTCCGTTAAGGATCAACTACTCCTTCACACACCCAGTGTGACGTTGCCTCTGGTCCTGGAATGATAATAAAAGACTTAAGCTGGCAAGGCTGCAGAGAGGAAGAAAAATCTTATGTTATAGTTCTTAAAAGAAAATCAGACTCAGGTAAAATCAGGAATTGAAGATTGGAATACAGGTTCAAAATAGGGTTTGATTGGGTTTATTTTTCAGCTTTAATGAAATCTTTCCCCACAATCCTTAAAAAAAGGACTCAGATTTTACAGCGTCCGTGAAATTAGAAAACCAAACCAACTGCTTTGCCATTGTTCTAAGTTGTTGAACACAACTTGCAGCGTCTCTTGCTACATGTTTGAAATCAATGCTTCAATTGGAAATTGGTCAGCAGCATCAACAGCTGAACATCTGCTCCTTATGTTCATTACCGAGTGTTTATGCAAAATCAGTTTGGATTTAGGCTTCAGCTGGCCAGCCAATCAGCTTTTCTCACCATATAGTCTGAAAATACAGACTCGCTGACAGGCTCCTCTTTTAGAATGTTCTCATGCTTTCATCAACTCCAGGACGGAAACACCGAACCAGAAATGATTGCCACATGAGCAGACTCGCTTCGCAGAGCTCCGCTGTTCGAGAATCTGCTTATCACTTTCGGCCATCATGAAGTCGCACCTCGCTCTTTGCTGCTGCAGCACAACAGCACATGTTCCCGTGTTAAAATAGATTCAAACTGGCAGTCACTTCTTCGCACCGTTGACTTTCTCACAACTGATATGCAGACATTCTTCAGTCTGTTAGTCGTAGTGACGAGGGGAACCTGTCAGATTTAAGCCGGCGAGCCGTGAAAACAAACAGTGGCTCGCAAAGTGCAGCGCAGTTTACTTGTCTTTGATTTATAGGTGAGGAATGCGTGACTCATTATTTTCTATTACATATATAGTCCTGGTAGACGTACAAGAGCACATTGCATATTTCACCGCAATTCCAAAAAGAAGACATTTGCGATGCACTTCTTGGCGTGTGAATTAGTGGTGGGTTACCCTGTCCCATGTGTGAGATGGCTTCCAGCTGCCGGTGTGTTGTGGCCTTGGCGATGGCCTCTGGGAGCTGAAGAGGAAACGGCAATACGTCTCTGGAGAAACAAAAAGTAGAGATCGATACGCCAAACGTTACTGAATGAAAATAAGCTGTAACGCAAGTATAAGAATGGCATGGGGATTTCCAAATGACTGAGATCTGGGACTTAATGCTCTCTAAGCGTTACATATTGTTGTTTTTTTGGAGAAGCAGGAGAACAATTTTGTAGGTTTTTCTGCACAGGATTAAGCAGAACTGCCTTGAAATATGTTACTAAGTCAAACTATCAATGAGTTTGTAGAAGAAATGCAAAAGCAACATCACATCATACATCACCACCGCGTGACGGATAAATGGAGGTGGTTCTTCAACCAATTTTTGATCAGACCTACGGAGTGATGTGTACATCTAATGACACCGTCAACCTGAGTCTAGTGACGCCATCAACAGAGGCCTATGAAAACATAGAGAAACTATGCTAACCTTAAGCCAGCACTTCAGTAAACTACTCCAAAAAGAAAACACTGTCAGCAGGACAGGAGTTCACTGGAGTTTTCTTGAGTCTGAACTAAGTGGATTGTTAAAAAGAAGATAACAGTGGTCTGAAAAATGACAATAATCATCATTTTCTGGCAGCTTGATTAAAAATTTTTGTAAACAATAACAAGAGTAGCCAAAGACCAAGATTGGATAATTATTGCTGAATATAACCAAAGCAGAATCACATCACAAAGCTGGTTTGCTTCAGACCTTTCGACCTGATTGTCTATCTCACCTACAAACTCCAGCTCAGCAACGTGGCTTTACGCATTAAAAAACTGGAAGACGAAACTGAAAAACACATCCAGAGAGGTTTACGAATGTGAAACAAAGCCAGAAATTCCCTGAGTTTCACTATTCTGCAGGATACATATGGACATTGCAACCTCGACAAGAAAATACCAAATGAAAATATTCCGGGGCAGAGTTGTCTGCATGCTTGCATCTGCACCGTGAATGTTTTCTCTTTTTTTGTCTGAAATATTACCTGCTGATACAGTAGAAGGCCACCAAACGACACAGGTCCGGAAAGCTGAGTGCTGAGCTCTCCAAGGCGAACGCTGCTCACAGAACAGAAAGAGATTGACTGACAGCAGTGAAAGACTAGTTCGTTTCAGGAGGAGCTGTCATAAATAATGTGAAGCCGCCATGACACCTCCTGCAGAGACGAGTCAAGCAGGACTGCTAACTTTGTAGATTTGTTGGACTACTGTTCTCAGGATGTTTCGAACTGTCCAATTGACTGAGTCTGAGGCTGCCTATAGTCCAAGTTTTTTAAAAAAAGGGAGAAATGTTAATATGTTATTTTTGTTGCTTTTTACAACAAACCTACTCGACTGCCTCCGGTGAAGAGAGACGCCTTGTTTGTCCTTCGCCAAAAATGAACTGAGAGGATGTGCAAAGCTTTTCTGACAAACCTGGCGCCGTCTACAGCGGGAGTCTCAAACTCTGGTCCTGAAACCTTTCGCTGTGTCTTTGCTCTAGCAAACCCGAATCCCATAATTAGGTCATTAGTGGAACTTTGAAAAAAGGAATTGCATGCAGCCATTTGATTCAGTTGTGTTGGACCAGGAACATTCCTGAAAGTTGCAGGTATTGGAGTTTGAAACTCTTGATTTCATGGGAAATAAGAAGGCTTTTTAGTGTGGTATAAGATTTATTGCGCATAAAAGCATGTTAATTAAAAAACTAGACCAAACACAAAGGTCTTAAATTAAGCAGTGAATTATTATTATTTTTACTGCATTTAATAGCTTCCATAGATACAGAAATTGAGTATTCATCCTATTGACTATATATGGCCATCATTATTTAAAAGCTAGAAAAAATATTCACATTTCACAACTTTAAACTGTTGATTCTCAAACTACCTTCAATCAAATAACTGTGCTAAGATGCTAATGCTAGGCTACACATGAGCAGAAAGAAGAGGCGCTGTTTTTTTTTTTTCTATCACTGTTCACTTCTGTCTTGTTCTCATACTCACTGGAGTCCTCCTCACAGATGAAGCACTCCTTAACCGAGGAGGCACTCCGGTCGGCTGCCACTCTCAAACACAGCACCTTCCTTTGGCTGGAGCTGCACTTGCGCACCAAAAAGGTCTGAAAGCACCGATAACCGTCGAGGACACAAGTGTAAAACAGATTTAGTTTCATCTCTGTGCATTTTGACAAGGCACACAAACCACAAACAGAAGTGTCTGATAACAGCTGATGATCGATTAAATGCTGCCAAAATTGGCTGCCAAATCTGATTTGAAACAACATTGCCGACCTTTTTACTTCAACATGCAGCACCATGTTGGGGAAATAATTCCCAACTTGCCTTGACTACTAATAAATCCAGTTTCATCAGGTAGCTCTCGCCAGGAACAGTTACTTTTGGCAACAATGAGACGCAACGTGGCATCTATCGTTGTAAAGGATTGCTCCAGAAAATGATAAATGTGCTACTAAGGTGAATATTTACCCCGACAGGCTCTCTGAGCAGCATGTACAGGGCGGAGTCTTGGTTGAGCGACAGCTGCAGCCACACAGGGTGAGTGAGCAGCAGGCGATCCAGGACGCTGAAGGCCCGCTGTGAGCCTGTCTGGGTGCTGTCCTCCTCCTGCATCTACAGAGAACAGCCAGACAAGTCCAGACAAGAAAATACGTTGATTTAGACTTCAAATGATACAAATCAGAACAAGTTTTCTTCCCTCCTGAAAGCAGCGCAGCGCACAGTCGCCAGCGTTTGAAAACTACAGTAAATGAGTCACGACATTTAATCTCTAATCATGGATTATATAAATGCACAAATATAGGTTGTGCTTTAACATATAAAAAGAAAATGTCATTCTTTTGTTTTGCCATTTCTATGCATCACCATAGGTTAGGAAACACCCCTGCAGTGTGTAAGTTCTGTTTCCTACATTTTTAATGCTTGCTGTTTCAGTTTGGCCACTGCGTGACGTGAGCCGGCCTCCTCTTGTGTTTCTGGTGAGTTTCTTCACTTTGGTGGCGACCTGTTGCACCGGTGAGACGGACATTTTCACCTGCTGTCTGGAAGCGTTTTCGCTTAACTAGTCTTCTGCAGAAATTCCCGTCAAAGCCGCAGAATATTTAAAGCGGCTTCGCAACCTTCTGTTCGCTCCTCGCTCTGCCAAAATGTTGTTCTGTGTGCCGAGAGCTGCACACCTCTCCTACGTCTGTCTGCCTTCACTGTAACGGGAAGCGGCATCAAAAGAGGCTTGCTCTGGACGAGCCGCACCTATTCATGCATCAAAAAATGAAGCAGAATTACTGTGAACCGTGCATCTGTTTGCTTATTTTTGGCTCTTTTTTTTAACGTTAGCGTTCAGTCATAGCTTTACTTGATGCTTGATGCTGGATGTCACAGTGCGTGGGCTGTCTGCAAACTCTTGCGAGCGTAGCAGCAGATGGATGCTATGGCAACCTGGGCCTACACATCCTACCAGGCATTCCCACTCAGTGAAACACCCTTTTCTCCAACAAGTTGGGAGGCGCACGCAGCCACACACACACACACACACACACACACACGCATGTGCGCGAACACACAACTTTTGCACACACACACCGACCCACTTCGCCAAAGGGTGACAGGTTTTCCGGAGTGCAGAGGTGTTTTATTTCCAGATCTTTTTCTCAAGAAAATAAAAATTGTCACAGAAATCAAAGCAAATCAGAGATGAGATGCAGCAACCTGGTTCCTGTGGGATTAGAGAAAGCACCACGAATATTATATCTGTTCAGTATCCTACTGGAAAATCTTTCCCCACTATGTTTTTCATCACCGCTTCGGCCCCGTGACATAACCGTCCCCTTCTTCAGGGGAAGCTGGTTCTTTTAGCAAGGCCCCTTACTGTTATTGGAAAACACCATCCTGTTCAGGAGAAACCAGTACAATAAGAGCGCTGGTGCTGTGTAGCAATTACAGGTTCGTGCTGACGGTAGCCAGATTAAAGCAGAAACAAAATAAATCAGGGGGAGCATTTTAATCTCATGGATCAATAGGGAGTGAAACATTATCCCCTCAAGGAGCAGACCGTCAGCAATAACTCTGAACCGAAGGTCTTTTGGGCTCTTAGATGGCTTGAAGAATTAATTTTTTTCCCCTTGCGACACTCAGGCTTCTTTATAACCATCAAGGTAAAAAAATCAGCAAGTTTTCTGGGGGAAACCTTGGATCAGGTGTGGTTAACAAAACTGCTTCTCTTTGCTAATTGGCAGAAAAATAAAGGATTTTAACTGAATTTCTTTTTTTGTTTCAAGAGTTTAATCATAGTAGAGATTATTATTCTTATTCCCTCACACTACAGGTATTCAACTCAAGGCCCGGGGGCCAAATCTGGCCCGTTGTAAAATTTTTATGTGGCCCCATAAACTCCAAATTACATCAATAAGTCCCTCCAGTTTTTCACAAACACACAAAATTCACACAAAATCAACGGATCCCCCAGTTTTTTCCCCTGATCTGTTTCCTTTTAAGAATTTGGAATAAAAATATTCACTAAAACTACATGTGGGTTGTTTTCCTTAACGCTTACTTTAAGAACTGAACTCAGTTTCTACAGAAAGTCGCAATGTTGTGACAGCACCTGTCGATGCAGATCCACTCATCGTTTCTAAATTGTGCAGACTTGCAATTTTCACCAGACAACACAACATTTTCACAAATATGACCAATAGACGTAACGTTTCCTGTATTTCCTTCCTTTCCGACCAATCGCTGCACCTCGGCTGAATTTTGACAGCGACATTTTCTATAAGGTGCCACAAAATCAGAAACGTTGTTCCACAAGAATCACTGGAACCTCCTGGAGGAACTGTAAACTGCACTATCTGCTTCAAATTAAAATCCTTATAAGTCTATTAAGAAGGTGTGTTTTACAAAACCTTTTCTTCGTATGTGTGTTTGTGATTCTGAGTGGGCAGCCAGAGTCGCCTCATTGTATGTCAAGCACCACGCAACCACAGCTGATAACCAAACTGCATACACAACCACAAAAGGCTACAGGACACACAGAAGGAGAGAAAGAAACAAAGCAGGGGGCAAGACCCAAGTGTTTCACTAGCCATTTCCACGTTCGCCTTACATAAAGTGCAACACTGCCCACACGCACACACTGAAAGACTTATGTAATTTCCTCAGAGAAAGAGGGAATCGGTAATGGAGGAATAAGAGAAGAAATATAAAAAAAGATTAGGAAAAAAATGCAGCAGTTAAAATTGAAGGTTGATAAGAAAAACCCACTTTCTGCTGTCCTGCGGCGATGCACTTCAAAGTGATAGACTGCAAACATAGAATGCTGAAGGAGACATCAACAATTTATCAAACAAAGTGTTTTTGTCCCTAATGGCAGCAGCAGCAGCAAGATAGACCTGCATGAAAACAGCTGATGCTGCTGGACGCAGTGAGCAGTTCAGGAGAGGAACATGAAGAGCCGAGGTAAAGACTCATCTGAGGAGTGACTGCAGCACGGCAGTCATAACCACATGAAACGTCGCATTAATAAGGTACAAAAGGTCAACTTTTAAAACAAAATCTTTTAACTCACATTTGTTTCAAATGAATTTTAAGTCTCTTTTAAAATTAAATGTAGGTGGAGTTAATAAAAATAGTTCTACTTTGTTGTGTATTGCTGATGAAATCCAGCGGGTACATGGTTTAATAAAGCAAGGGTCAAGACAAGGCTAGGCAAGGCAAGTCATTTCAAGGCAAAGCAAGGCTATGCAAGTCCAGACAAGGCAATGCATGCCAAGGCACAGCAATCTCTTACAGCAATGTAAGGGATTGCAAGGCACATTTGTCCCACCATTGTTCACAACATGAAAACTAAATGAATACAGTGTATATATTTATATGCAATCAGTCGAAAGCCGAACTCAAATGGTAACACACGTGTGCCTTTTGAAAGCTGTTGTACATGTGAGGCCTGTAATAAAAGCAGCCGGGTTCTTTGATCCAACTGGATCATACTATCAAATGATCTTATTTATGCACTAATTTATTTGCTTATTCACCAGGACAAATAAATTGGCAAACAAACCAGGACATTATATTGATTATAACCATTATCTTGGTAACAATATTATTTGTATTAATCTCATTAATACTAATAAGACAGAAAAGTTAGTTTGCATCTGAAGTCCCTTGGCGAACTGATGTTAAAAACACAAACAAACAAAAACAACTGTCCACCAACTACAACAACATGCCAGCGCATGCTTTTAAACAGAAGACCTGGAGGATATGAACTGGTTTTCTCACGCTATTATTATGAATCTTGCATAATCATGCTAAACATGCTTCCAGGACACATTTGGATGTAAATAATCTGACCTGTGACCCTCAGAACCAACAATAGGAAGGGGGGAAGATGAAGGGCCTGGAGTGTTTTGTTTTCCTGTGATTACTTCATTCAATATTATGGAATGAATGAACTTTTGTTCTTTGTTTGTTAAACTTATTGAAATAAGACCTGCTGTTGTGAGCCACGTGACGGATTCTGCTTGGAATCAAAGATAAAGTTTGCAGAACTGCAGGTCTTGTTTTACCAGTCGTGGTCCAATACCCCAGTAAAAGGAAAGGAATCTTGCAGTCTGCAGCAAACCACTCAAAAACAGAGTAAGCCACTGGTTTCTTCAGAAACAAGTGTCTGGTTTTGCCGTCCAAAGATTTGATTGACTGACGGAGAAACCCAGCAAAACCTTTTGGAGACGAGCTGAAACGAAATTGGAAGGAAATCTCACACGAAATGCCGTGTGGAAGAGCTGACCTACAAGCTGTCTCCAGTGAGTGATGGAGAGCTGATGTAATGAGACAAACACTGAACAAAAGACACATTATAACCAGAAAGGAAAAGAAAAACATAACAGGTGCTGTGATCATCAGTGTTGGTGTGTGTTTTCCAATTTTATGTAGAGTTTGGGGAGAACATCTCTGATTCCGAAGTCAGCCATCACTCATCAGGCATATACAATAAAACCTGATCAGACTGAAGAAAGGGCAGCACTCAGGTTCAAAGTGATTGTGAAGGCAGAGGTCATGAAATACATTCGACCCGGATAGTAAGCTGCAAGCATGGATTTGTAACTACAGTCATATCCAGAGCAGGTGAGCGGTACGTTTTATCCTGAGCTTTGTTTCCAGTGTGAAGCTGGTGGTAGATATAAACAGAGGAACAAACATTACAGCAGAGATAAAATGAGACTGTCGAGACCAGCCTGAACCGTTAATACAAGGCAGGATGGATCCATCTTTTCATGTTGTTGACGCCAAATTCTGATCCCACCATCTGAATGTCGCAGCAGAAATCGAGACTCATCAGACCAGGCAACATTTTCTCCTATTGTCTGATTTTGGTGAGCCTGTGCGAATTGTCGCCTCGGTTTCCAGTTCTAGCTGACAGGAGTGGCACCCGGTGTGGTCTTCTGCTGCTGTAGCTAAAGGTTTGATGTGCGTTCAGAGATGCTCTTCTGCATACCTTAGTTGTAACGATCGGTAATTTGAGTTTCTATTGGCGTTCTATCAGCTCAGACCAGTCTGGCCATTCTTCTCTGACGTCTACAAGGCATTTGCGCCCACAGAACCACCGCTCACTGGATATT